CCAAAATCAGTTAAGCCTCAACTTGTATAACTGCAACAATGTATAATTGCAACAGTGCTGGAAGCAAGAGCTAAACTGACCATATCTAGACCCCCCCAAAATCTGGCTTGATCTAGGATTACCTTATTTGCTTTATTTATGTAATTGTTACTGTAGTATGCACCTGACGAGATACAGCGAAATATGCCAGGCAATAAATTGTGCAATCTATTGTTTGTGTCTTCTTTGTTCATACTTCTTTATGCCAGATTTTTATGATGTAACTGACCAACAGAAATAGTTTTTCACAAAGAACAAATACACTTTTTATAAACAGCCAAATACTTATTCACTGTCATCTTTATTAACGTTCACAGAATACAACAAATTATTCCGAGATTATTTTGAACACAAATGATAATGTGACTACAGTTAGTTACTAATGTAGTAGATATTTGTACTGATAGTCGAATACCAGTGAAATAGTTCTACAGGCTTTCAAATGTCTACATTAAATTTTTTCACAAGTGTTTAGAATGATGACTTAAATAGTTTGTTTCAGTATCTGAAATGATGACGAAGTGTGTCTAGCGACTACAGTTTCGGAAATTCGCGATCTTTTTGACAATTTCCGTTACCATGGAAACCGTTTGAAACTGGCTTCGGAAATGTCGGCTGGGGTTTCGGGATGGGTCCTAATCTCTCATGAAATTTTGCGATTGGTGTGATTTTCACCCACAGCCGGACGTCCTCTGTTTTTCTGTTACATCCGTTTGATTGAAAATAGCGTTAAGTATTCAAAGTTGGCTTTAGGCCTTAAACATTACCAGATTTGGTAATGCTAGTTATAATTGAATTCTCCGTCCAATTTTACATTTGTATATAAAATATCTTTTTTGTCTGTGGCTGTTTAGATTTACAGTGACATTTTTCATGCAATCGCTATTATGTGGCTGTGTCTCATTTGTCATTGCCTGCCATCTTGGCAGTCCAATGTCAACAAAGCCAAAACGAAAGTTGCACAGTTTTTAGTTGCGCAGAGAAAAATTCTTGTTAATGAGGGGGGACAAGATTTAGCAGCTGCTTTCTACATCTCATCTCCACAAAAACCTACATATCTCAGCTCAGAAATGACATACAAGCCTAAATGAGGTACCACTGGAAAGAGATTGTTTACAGCTATCTAACTGTGCTGGTTTTATTGGTGTAGAGGGCATTTTCAAAATTTGACTGAAGTAACTAGTGTGTCACAATTAGTGTTTAAAATTACGAAATAAAAAGTTTGTAAATCAATGTTTAGAATGATGAAAAAATACTCTATAATAATCAGTGTGCAAAATCATGATGTAAGTAGTTTGTGGCAACAGGCATATATAGAAGTATGACGTAAGTACTTTGACAACCAGTGTTTAGAATGATGGCATACTTTGAGGTAAAAAGTATTTAGAATGATAAAGACAACAGTTTGTGACAACCAGTCTTTAAAATGACAATTATAGTTTGTGACAATCTGTGATTAATATGATGACACAAATAGTTTGTGACAACCAGTTTTAGAACGTCTCCAAAACTGTTTCCGGCAATCAAAATGCTTTAATGTGTAATGAATGAGTGGATCAACTGGGAAATTATGCAGTGATACAAATGGGAAGAAGCAGGGGCAATGCTGGTATTGTCTACGCATTATGAACTAGGTTAGTCGATGCTGAAAACCTTTTGATGCTAACCCAATTATGTGACCAAAAATGAAGCTTAGTCAAGGATGTCGATGATATCGACAAGAAACACTGCAACTTTTCACAGAAACAGTAGAAGTATCTTATGATGGCTGCTGAATTCCAATATTAAGCAAGCATAGGAAATGTCCAGCGTGCAGAGGTTTTCAACATAACACATGCCTTTGCCATGAATCCCCCCATGCACTTCTTCTGCCTCTCAACCAACAGCCATCTGTATAGACAATCACATCAAGTATCTGGCCAACACTCACAGGAATGGCCAGCAGGACATACAATCAGACTGCTACTGCTTCCTTGAGAATCAGATCTCAGCGCTGGATGCCGAAGACGGGAACAGAGCATTGTGGTGTCAGTTCTTAACTCAACGCAACATATATACTTATTAGTCTGCAGGACAATTCCACTCTTCTTCTTCTTCTTTTATGCTACTGATTGTGCCGTAAAGCGTTGCAAATAGGAGTGATATCTAGTTTGTGTCTTTTTCTAGTTGCTTAGTTTGTGTTTATGTCATACTGTGTTTTGGTAGTGTCTCTTTTACTCCCTCCACCGACCCTTTTCTTGGTCGGCCTCTTGCCATGTAGCCTGCTGTTCGCATGTGGTATGCTCTAGCTGCCGTTACCTAGTCAAGTCTATTTACTGTGTTCAATAAAATATCTCACTTTGATTGTCTAACAATATTATTCAGAATTTATTAATTGGCTGAACAGTATTCCCCCAAATCTGAGTGAACTACACAGGTCAATCTTTCTTACAATGTGTTTCTTCTCTAGTACTAAAGACAATATGCTTCACTAGCACACACAGACCTTCCCAGCAGCAGCAGATGTTCATGTCATCTGTTCTCATCTTTTCCTTTGATCAATTATTGTTTTCTCAATTCCTGATAATTAACAACACAGCTGTTGTGTCTGCCTCTGTAGCTGGTGTCAGGTATAAAGGATGCAAGCTCGGGTATTCATCTTTTACAGGAAGAGACAAGCCTGGTGGCCTCCCAAAAACAAGTATATGATTATCATAGCACATGACAAGACTGATTATAAGATACTCTATTTAGGTACAATAATTTTAAGATATTCCATGTATGTACAATATTATTATAATATTCACAATCTTTGGTATAACTCTGCAAACAGCTTTGAAATATAAACAATAGAATGAAAATTGCACAAAAAAGAAAAAGTCTCAAAGGTGATATAACATCTTTCACCAGTGATCAACTCCTCAGATATTATGATCTTTGTTAATAAAAATAAATAAACATTAAAACAGACAAGTCATTCCATTTCCTGAACTGGGGAATTCAAAGTTCTTGGCAAATAAACAATTGTGACTAGTTCATAACTTAGCACAGAAATCCTGTCTCTGTTGTATCAGATGCAAAAATGATGGCTCCAGAAAACAGAAATCTAATTTTGTGGTAAACATTTCATGAACACAAAAATGACTTAGACATGCCTCGTTGCTATCTGCATTTTTATGCAAGATAGAAATGATTTTCTACTGACGAAAAACTGACCAGCAGAAATGTGAAGTTTTCTGTGAGAATAACAACCACCAAAATGTGAACATCTCAATGGGGAAAAAAAAGCTGCTGTTCCTCTGAAGTCGAAGTGCTTAGGAACCAACAGTCTGCATACAAATAAGCCAGATCTGTAAAATGAATGTGCATGTAAAACTTAATTTCTTGAATAAGAGTTAAGAAGTAAAGGAAACAAACAGAACTTTCTGCCCAGAGTTTACGGCTGGTGAACGCGAAGTAGAACAAAGAATAAGGATAGTGCAGTGCTAAATGAAGCGTGTTCTGTAGAACATGTGGGAGACCGGAACAATGAGCAGACATGTTGAGAAACATTTGATGATGATGGCATAGGTCTGTATTCTGAGGAGAATGTCAGAAATGCATGAACAACCAGAGAAGTAGATAAGGCTGACTTTCAAGGTCACGGAGAAATGTGGATGGTCAAGACTGGTTTGGTCCTGTTATGAGAGAAAATGTACGACAGCTGGGAAATGTGATGGGGAATGGGACAAAGGAACACGACATAAACACCCAGATGGCTTGATAAAATGAAAGGATGAGTAAGTGAACAAAGTCCTGGTGGGTCTGGCGACTGTGGGGTGTCATCCCTGGCATCTATCTGCTCTTATCCACCTGTGGCTTTTTTTAAATAACAATTCTGATATAGCAATGGCTTCATTGCTTACTCTTTGCAATTCCCAAACTTGCACAATTTGTACTCAGGGACTTTTTTGCTGCTATCTGAGAGGACTGGGTATCTTATCTCAGTACCCACAAGATCAGAGTAAGATACATGGCTCTTGTAAAATATCCCCATGCTATGCTGAGACTAGAACCAGTACCTTCTAAGCTGAATGCCAGCATTCTAACCAAGCCACACCTCTAGGGAATGATTGACCAACTCTACTGTTGACATCTATCTGACACCTACATGTGTCACTGAATTCAATGAGTTTAGGCAGCAGTGCATAAGTATTGCTTGGAGCCCTGACAAGATCTCTCTCATGCACACAGACACACAACACTTGTCCTTACAATGTTTCAAATGTTCACTGCTATTCAGTGGGTGTGTTGACAGGTAATGGATCACATCTGCTCTTAATACTAGCTAGTCAGTGGGCCAGGACCTTTTTAATATTATTACAGCCCTGTCCTGTCACAATGTGTCAGCCAGAGTTTTTTTTTAAAGTTCCTGACCCAAAGAAACTATTGCATTCGAGAGAATCAAACCTGCACTTGCAGATTTAAATGACTAGAGAACTAGCCACCCAACCATGTATTCACAAGCTGATGGCCAAAAAAAAAACACATTCAGTGTGTTCACAGGCTGCCTCTATCGCCAATCTGTTGTGCTGAACTCACAGGCCATGTATGGTTTAGTTTCTTTGACTGAATCATTCTGGTCACACCTAAGAAACTCTCCTCAAACTGTCAACCAACGTCCATCCCTGATGACTCAATGAGAGAAATACCACTGCAACAACGCTATCCCCGATGACTCAATGAGAGAAATAGCATCCATCCCTGATGACTCAATGAGAGAAATACCATCCACCCCTGATGACTCAATGAGAGAAATACCATCCACCCCTGATGACTCAATGAGAGAAATACCATCCACCCCTGATGACTCAATGAGAGAAATACCATCCACCCCTGATGACTCAATGAGAGAAATACCATCCACCCCTGATGACTCAATGAGAGAAATACCATCCACCCCTGATGACTCAATGAGAGAAATACCATCCATCCCCGATGACTCAATGAGAGAAATACCACTGCAAGAGCGTCTGAAACACCAGAATCACAGCAACTAGCACCCACTCCTGGAAAATGCCACCACCTCTCTGTCTGTCTGCATGGTCCTGCAGCTGTTTTGAATGAATAAGGTCTGTCTGAAGTCTTTGAATACTGGCCACTTTGGTGGTCAGATCATTCAGTATCTGGTGCATCTCATGTTGCATCTCAGCCACCACGGACAAAGTCTGTATGTCCTTGGCGACGCCTGCCTTTCTGCTCCTGGATAATTGTGAGTACAGCTGTGTGCTAGGCACAGAGGCAGCATGCAGAGTATCTAATGAAAATGCATGTGCTCTGTCACATGAAACATTTAAGTCTATATCATGATTTTCCTGTAAAGGACTTTCCTTATTCCTCCTTTCAGCATGTTTAACACTCACATCATTTACAGCACCAGAATTATGAAGAAGTTGAGAGTGGTCTACCTTGTCTGACCTTTTCTCATTTGTGCCGAGCTGACTGAAGGTCAACTTTCTGTGCGTTGGCTTGGGGCTGGTTTTATGAGAAGTGTGGGTAACATTCTCTGAAAACTTTTGCTGGGCACGATGTGTCCTTTCTTTTATTGTGTCTGAATGAACACTCAATTTGCTTGAATTTGTCAGTCGTTTGGTGCTCTGATATCTTGTGTCATCAGATTCTACAGAACAAAATAAAGAAACAACCATTTCAATTTTTTTTTTTTCAAAACACCATAATAATACCTGGTACAACACAACTGTTTTCATCCCTGACATCTGACATAAGAGAGTGTGACTAAATGGATTTAGTACTACAATAAGAACATATTAACAGACTCCACTCAGCATGAAACGACTTTGATATGAAGAAGATAAAAACAGAAAAAACAGAAGTGATGAGATTCTCTAGAAAAGGAAGAAACACTTACATTAACATTGGTAAACATGAGTAAAGCAGGCGAAGGGCTTTATTTATCTACAGAAGCAATGTTTGTTTGGAAACCAGGAGAATGAATAAAGAAATAAAGCGCAGACGCAACAAAGCCAATCAAGCTCAAGGACACCACCGATGATATCAGGAGGACAGTCAGCATATGACAAATACTGAAATTTATTGGTAGACAACACTGCAAATGGTTTGGCCATGTAACAGACTGGCAACAGATAGGGCACCATGCAAAGCAATGTTATAAGGATACAACAGTAACAGATCCAGAGGTCAACCATGCAGAGCAATGTTATAAGGATACAACAGTAACAGATCCAGAGGTTGACTAGGCAGATAAAGGTCTGCAGAAATATCAGCAACACTAAAAAGCACACATTCGAGTCTGGATAAGTAGAAGTCGCAGGGACCTAAGAAAATACTTCCACATATCAGGACTTATACTTATCCAGACAGCACACACAATAGGGAATGTACAATAAAACCGAACAGTAGTATTGAGTAAAACAGTTATACCAGTTAGGAAACTATAATTAAACAAATAAAAAGCAATACAATATTAGAAACGTTGACATATTTATTTTAAAAGGCTTAACATTCAAGCCATATGAAAATTCAGACATTAATTAAAGAACAAATCTATGATTTTGATTTGCTTTTTGGGCTGTGAAAAATATGCACTGGCATTTTTGAAAAGGTCGAACCACCCAGCACTACATTTCCAGTCAGTCCGACCTCCAAGACGTGCCAATTCCTCTGCTTTTGCCATAATTAATGGCCCATTCTTAGCTACATTTGCCGATCTAAATGCAGGAAACTATTTTAAAAAGGCAGTATCTACAAAATCGCATGTCGCTGTTCTAGATGGCTGTCTGTCACTGTTTATCTGACACTTGAAAAACAATGTTCTGTAGCGTTTCTTATGATGTAAATTGCCAGAAAGCGTCGAACTTGAAATATCATATTACCGAGCTTCATTCACTTTCTTCTTCCCACTATGTTCAAGCTCTTCCAACAGTTCAATCTTTCTTTTTAAAGTTTAAGTAGTCAGCTTTCGACCGCCAGCCGCCATTGGTAATACTGTAGAGAGTGAGATATTGTAGCTGCGAGATTTCCCGGGCTAACTAAAGAAAATTTTTTGATTAAATAAATTCTTCTTACATAGTGATAATGAACAGTTCGACTTAAACAGGGACGTGTATTTTTAGATTTGACTTATCAGGATTTTAAATACTAAGATAAAGAAGGCACATTGCCGGAACTATAGGGTCAGGTAGACTTATCTGAGGTGAGTGGACTCGACTGTATATTTTATTTTATTTATAGTTTTTTTAAATAAGTTTTTTATACATAGATTTTACGTTAGACAGTGCAAGAATTTGCAAGGTAGTGCAATAATGATGACAGTACAAGAGCAAGCAATCAATGTCAGACTGTCTAGTGATTACAGCATAAATGTTTAGACAATCTGACAGTGAGTACAGCATACAAGTTTAGACAATCTGACAGTGAGTACAACATACATGTTTGGACAATCTGACAGTGAGTACAGCAAACATGTTTAGACAATCTGACAGTGAGTACAGCATACAAGTTTAGACAATCTGACAGTGAGTACAACATACATGTTTGGACAATCTGACAGTGAGTACAGCATACATGTTTAGAAAATCTGACAGTGAGTACAGCATACATGTTGAGACAATCTGACAGTGAGTACAGCATACATGTTTAGACAATCTGACAGTGAGTACAGCATACATGTTGAGACAATCTGACAGTGAGTACAGCATACATGTTTAGACAATCTGACAGTGAGTACAGCCTTCATGTTTAGACAATCTGACAGTGAGTACAGCATACATGTTTAGACAATCTGACAGTGAGTACAGCATACAAGTTTAGACAATCTGACAGTGAGTACAGCATACATGTTTAGACAATCTGACAGTGAGTACAGCATACATGTTGAGACAATCTGACAGTGAGTACAGCATACATGTTGAGACAATCTGACAGTGAGTACAGCATACATGTTTAGACAATCTGACAGTGAGTACAGCATACATGTTTAGACAATCTGACAGTGAGTACAGCATACATGTTGAGACAATCTGACAGTGAGTACAGCATACATGTTTAGACAATCTGACAGTGAGTACAGCATACATGTTGAGACAATCTGACAGTGAGTACAGCATACATGTTTAGACAATCTGACAGTGAGTACAGCATACATGTTTAGACAATCTGACAGTGAGTACAGCATACATGTTTAGACAATCTGACAGTGAGTACAGCATACAAGTTTAGACAATCTGACAGTGAGTACAGCATACATGTTTAGACAATCTGACAGTGAGTACAGCATACAAGTTTTGACAATCTGACAGTGAGTACAACATACATGTTTGGACAATCTGACAGTGAGTACAGCATACATGTTTAGACAATCTAACAGTGAGTACAGCATACATGTTGAGACAATCTGACAGTGAGTACAGCATACATGTTGAGACAATCTGACAGTGAGTACAGCATAGATGTTTAGATAATCTGACAGTGAGTACAGCATACATGTTGAGACAATCTGACAGTGAGTACAGCATACATGTTGAGACAATCTGACAGTGAGTGCAGCATACATGTTTAAACAATCTGACAGTGAGTACAGATCAAACATTCTGGATTTCACAAATCATCACTCACCTGCAGCATTATTATCGGAGGAGTAACTGTCGTCTGCAGCCGGGAGTCTGTGAGAGTTGAAGTCCTGGCCCCTGACCTGACCTACCACAGGTGACCGCCACACCTGGGGCACAGTGTGGACCGTCTGTGTCCTGATGATAAAATCTTTCTCATACTGGACACAGTCGGTCATCTGATCCCAGGGTCTCAAACTGTAACATGGAGCAGAGATCATTACGTTAACTCTTTCATTCCTATACAGACATTTGCTTCAATCTTTTACGACCGAAGATGTACTAAACTGAAATTAAATTACACCCATTATGGTTAAGATATTCTTAAATTAAGTTACACCCATTATGGCCGAAGATGTACTTATCGTAAATTAAGTTACACTCATTATGGCCAAAGATGTACTCATCTCAAATTAGGTTACACCTATTATGGCCAAAGATGTGGTTATCTTAAATTAAGTTAAACCTATAATGGCTGAAGATGTAGTTATAAATGATGTGATACTGCATCTAAAGCAGTGAGGATGTCACTGTTTCAGGGGCCACAATGCTGAAAACGAGTCGAGATGACCAGAGTCCCCAGCAGAAAGATCATTAATACTGTACAACTGGCAACGATCTGCCAGTTGTAGAATCCTGTCACACGGTGACTAACCACGACCGGCTCCAGCTGACAGGCCATGCTGCTGATGTCACCGGGTCGGGCTAAGGATGCGTTAACGTAGCTGAGGCACCCTGGGGTGCCGTGAGCGTATGCCGACGTCACCGGGTCAAGCTAAGGATGCGTTAACGTAGCTGAGGCACCCTGGGGTGCCGTGAGTGTATGCCGACGTCACCGGGTCGGGCTAACGATGTGTTAACGTAGCTGAGGCACCCTGGGGTGCCGTGAGCGTATGCCGACGTCACCGGGTCAAGCTAAGGATGCGTTAATGTAGCTGAGGCACCCTGGGGTGCCGTGAGCGTATGCTGACGTCACTGGGTCAAGCTAACAATGCGTTAACCTAGCTGAGGCACCCTGGGGTGCTGTGAGCATATGCCGACGTCACCGGGTCGAGCTAACGATGCGTTAACGTAGCTGAGGCACCCTGGGGTGCCGTAAGCGTATGCCGACGTCACCGGGTTGAGCTAACGATGCGTTAACGTAGCTGAGGCACCCTGGGGTGCTGTGAGCATATGCCGACGTCACCGGGTCAAGCTAACGATGCGTTAACGTAGCTGAGGCACCCTGGGGTGCCGTGAGCATATGCCAGAGGTGCTGCTACAATAATAATCAAGAAAAGTCGGCTAAAATTTTTGAAATTATTAAAGAAGGCATGTAGATACTTAAAAGTTAAAATTGAGGTTGTCTTCCCTCGTTCATGTTTGAGAACCGCTGTGTTAGCGCATCGTTAGCCTGACCAGGTGACGTCAACCCTGGGTGAGATGGTCCAGGACTGTTTCACTAAGTAATGATCATACTAAGGAGAATCCATTTTCATCTTTACACACAAACACTACAAACTTACTCTGCATGTTTGTAGACCCACTTTTTGCTGACAGAATCCAGTGTGAACCACCTTGGAACCCACTCCTGATGACTGTTGTGTCGATCTTTTGCTTCCGCTCGCTGTTTTTCCTCTAGCCGATGTTTCTCGTCTGTTGCCTTGTGCATGTCCTGTTCCACAATGGCTTCACTGACTTTCCTCCACAATCTGAAAATGTACCATATCAGGTTGGTCACCAACTATATCATGTCAGCATAAATTACCTCATAATGAAGGCAATAAATACATGACTATGTGAGCAGAGATAACCTCACTGTATGGTAAAGAATGCTATACCATGTAAGCAAAAATGACCTCTTAATGTAAACAAAGCAATATACCATGTGAGCAAAGATTACCTACCTGGTAATGTGAGCAAAGTGTACTATATCACGTCAACACAGAGTAGCAGATCATGTTAGCAAACAAAGAAATCAGAAAATGTGAGCATAATATACTATTTAATGCTGGTAAAGAGCACCACAACATGTAATCAAAGAGTGCCGCCACTGCATTCACCTCCTAAAACGTCCATGTCTGTTCTGTGTCAACTAAGTGAAACTAAAATTGTTGGTGGTTGGGGGGGGGGGGGGCAGATGTGCCACATGAATGGGTCAAAATTGACGTTAGGCAGCGGCACTGTTCGATACAGAGGCAAATTTTTTGCTTCTGCCGGACGGTGGCCGATGCATTTTTGCTCCATTTGTAGACTGGATATAGTTTCGTCGCCCAGCTTCTGAGTTGAATGCATGGCGTGACCCTGTGAGCTGCGGATTGCATTTGGAATGTTTTTTCGACTGTGACCAACGTGTTGGTGTGAATTGTAGATTCAGAAAATGGGGCGATGACTGTCGTGCAGTGTTGTGGTGCCTGTATGTGATTAAAATTTATCGCGTGGGCAACTGCTGATCTGTTGGCGACTTCTGCTACCATCAATGATGAACTGCAATTCTAATACTGTGATAAACATTCTGTGTGTTTTTCGTTGGCACAGGAGCGGAGCAAAGATGGGGTGACCCGTTTGCTATGAAGCTGAAACTAAGACTACCAGACCAGACTATGAATGGGTGCAGCGAGAGAGAAAGAGAGAGAGAGAGTGGGGGAGAGAATTATCTTTAAAACCTCAAACACAATGAGTTATCTGTGAAACACTCAAAGATGGTCCTCTGTGAACAGGGTTCAAACAATTCCCTTCTCAAGCCCTTAGCTGAGCTCCATAAATGAAGATACCATCACACGTGCTCCTGTCTCTTCCAACAGACCATTCAGGAGGATCTCAATGCAGTGCAGGAATCTATCAAGCACTGAAGATTCCATGTGTGTGTAAACCAGAATACAGATCACTATTCTAGTCTGCCAGTTTAACAATCTTTATATCAACATTGTTAGCAATATGACAAACAAAACACACAAAAAGTTTGTATCAGGAAGCAAGAAGAGATAAGCTGCCTTTAAAAATGCTGACCTCTGGGACTCATTGTCCCACTGTAAATCAAGAGGAACTGTGTACTTCTTCAAGCGTCCAGCTCGGACATCAGCATTAGGGTCCCAGAAAAGAACTCGGTCCTAAAGGAAACACAATTTACACATGTTGTATGATTATGGATCAATATTATTTAATTGTTGTATGTTAGAAATAACTAACAAGTGGCATAAGGCTAGTTCCAGGGCACATACTGCCTTTGACGGGTGAAGTGTTGGGAGTAAAGTTTTGGGAGTGAAGTTTTGGGAGTGAAGTGTTGGGAGTGTTGTTGTTGTTATCGATCCAGCGGCGCATGAGCTTTCGCCCTTTGGCCCAATGCCATGTAGTGGAATTTGCATGTTTTCACAAGCTGTTCTTTTCCTCCGTACAAGGTGTTCCACTTGTCTGGTCTCGGAGGGAGTAGCGTTCTTCTTGTCTCACTGAGTTTTGGGCACTCAAAGAGATGGTGTTCAACAGTTTCGTAGGGGTAGTTACATAGCTGGCACTCTGGGGAGTGTTGTGGCTGTATTCTGTTTAGGTGTCCATTGAGTGGAGTATGTTGCGTTCTAAGTCTGAAGATGGTGGCCTGGTCCCTTCTTGTTAGATGGTTAATGCTGTCATTAGGATCAGGGCCAGACATATGTCTATAAACCTCTCTTCCAGTGTCTCCCATGGCCCATCTGTTCAACCAAGTCTCTTTGTTTATAGCTCTTATCAGTGTTTTTGCTGTTACACATAACTAACAAGTGGCATAAGGCTAGTTCAAGGGCACATACTGCCTTTGACGGGTGAAGTGTTGGGAGTAAAGTTTTGGGAGTGAAGTTTTGGGAGTGAAGTGTTGGGAGTGAAGTAGTGGGAGTAAAGTTTTGAGATTAAAGTATTGGGAGTAGAGTGTTGGGAGTAAAGTGTTGGGAGTGATGTGTTGGGAGTGATGTGTTGGGAGTAAAGTGTTGGGAGTAAAGTGTTGGGAGTAAAGTGTTGGGAGTAAAGTGTTGGGAGTAAAGTGTTGGGAGTGAAGTGTTGGGAGTAAAGTGTTGGGAGTAAAGTGTTGAGAGTGAAGTGTTGGGATTCACAGTGTGGACCATGGAGCATACTATAAGGCCTTTGGAGACTGAATCAATCAATCAATCAATTAATCAATCAAGAACTGATACTGCTCTCAGGACACACATGCTCCGCCCCTTTCTTCTATAGGCAACTAAGAGTTAATATGCTAACAGCACGAGTTGCAACTTGATTGAAAGTGCCAATGTTTCCCCCTCAGTGTTGAATATTTAATATCCTAATAATAATAACAATAGTATTGCAGGGATTTTATAACACGACCTCCTAGTAGGTCAGCAAACAAGCTAGCCACTGTACTATCTTACTACGACCTCCTAGTAGGTCAGCAAGCAAGCTAGCCACTGTACTATCATACTACGACCTCCTAGTAGGTCAGCAAACAAGCTAGCCACTGTACTATCTTACTACGACCTCCTAGTAGGTCAGCAAGCAAGCTAGCCACTGTACTATCTTACTACGACCTCCTAGTAGGTCAGCACGCAAGCTAGCCACTGTACTATCTTACTACGACCTCCTAGTAGGTCAGCAAGCAAGCTACCCACTGTACTATCATACTACGACCTCCTAGTAGGTCAGCAAGCAAGCTAGCCACTGTACTATCTTACTACGACCTCCTAGTAGGTCAGCACGCAAGCTAGCCACTGTACTATCATACTACGACCTCCTAGTAGGTCAGCAAGCAAGCTAGCCACTGTACTATCTTACTACGACCTCCTAGTAGGTCAGCACGCAAGCTACCCACTGTACCATCTTACTACGACCTCCTAGTAGGTCAGCAAGCAAGCTAGCCACTGTACTATCTTACTACGACCTCCTAGTAGGTCAGCAAGCAAGCTACCCACTGTACCATCTTACTACGACCTCCTAGTAGGTCAGCAAGCAAGCTAGCCACTGTACTATCATACTACGACCTCCTAGTAGGTCAGCAAGCAAGCTAGCCACAGTACTATCTTACTACGACCTCCTAGTAGGTCAGCAAGCAAGCTAGCCACTGTACTATCTTACTACAACCTCCTAGTAGGTCAGCATGCAAGCTACCCACTGTACTATCTTACTACGACCTCCTAGTAGGTCAGCACGCAAGCTAGCCACAGTACTATCTTACTACGACCTCCTAGTAGGTCAGCAAGCAAGCTAGCCACTGTACTATCTTACTACGACCTCCTAGTAGGTCAGCAAGCAAGCTAGCCACAGTACTATCTTACTACGACCTCCTAGTAGGTCAGCACGCAAGCTAGCCACTGTACTATCTTACTACGACCTCCTAGTAGGTCAGCAAGCAAGCTAGCCACTGTAATATCTTACTACGACCTCCTAGTAGGTCAGCAAGCAAGCTAGCCACTGTACTATCTTACTACGACCTCCTAGTAGGTCAGCAAGCAAGCTAGCCACTGTACTATCTTACTACAACCTCCTAGTAGGTCAGCAAGCAAGCTAGCCACTGTACTATCTTACTACAACCTCCTAGTAGGTCAGCAAGCAAGCTAGCCACTGTACTATCTTACTACGACCTCCTAGTAGGTCAGCAAGCAAGCTACCCACCGTACTATCTTACTACAACCTCCTAGTAGGTCAGCAAGCAAGCTAGCCACTGTACTATCTTACTACAACCTCCTAGTAGGTCAGCAAGCAAGCTACCCACCGTACTATCTTACTACGACCTCCTAGTAGGTCAGCACGCAAGCTAGCCACTGTACTATCATACTACGACCTCCTAGTAGGTCAGCACGCAAGCTAGCCACTGTACTATCTTACTACGACCTCCTAGTAGGTCAGCACGCAAGCTAGCCACTGTACTATCTTACTACGACCTCCTAGTAGGTCAGCACGCAAGCTAGCCACTGTACTATCTTACTACGACCTCCTAGTAGGTCAGCAAGCAAGCTAGCCACTGTACTATCATACTACGACCTCCTAGTAGGTCAGCACGCAAGCTAGCCACTGTACTATCATACTACGACCTCCTAGTAGGTCAGCACGCAAGCTAGCCACTGTACTATCATACTACGACCTCCTAGTAGGTCAGCACGCAAGCTAGCCACTGTACTATCATACTACGACCTCCTAGTAGGTCAGCACGCAAGCTAGCCACTGTACTATCTTACTACGACCTCCTAGTAGGTCAGCACGCAAGCTAGCCACTGTACTATCTTACTACGACCTCCTAGTAGGTCAGCACGCAAGCTAGCCACTGTACTATCTTATTACGACCTCCTAGTAGGTCAGCACGCAAGCTAGCCACTGTACTATCATACTACGACCTCCTAGTAGGTCAGCAAGCAAGCTAGCCACTGTACTATCATACTACAACCTCCTAGTAGGTCAGCACGCAAGCTAGCCACTGTACTATCATACTACGACCTCCTAGTAGGTCAGCACGCAAGCTAGCCACTGTACTATCATACTACGACCTCCTAGTAGGTCAGCAAGCAAGCTAGCCACTGTACTATCATACTACAACCTCCTAGTAGGTCAGCACGCAAGCTAGCCACTGTACTATCATACTACGACCTCCTAGTAGGTCAGCACGCAAGCTAGCCACTGTACTATCATACTACTCTCTGATTGCCTAGGATTTAAAACCTATTACTACTGGTCTTTGAGTTAGCAGATTTGCTGAACCAGCTGTTCACTCTGGCAGAAAGTTCTGGTTGCTCGTCCACTACTAAACTGCAGTCCTGCTCCAGAACCTGAGTGTTGCGTGTGCATCAGTTTTACAGATTTCATTCTCTTGAATACAGACTGTTGGTTCCTTGCCTCTCCGGCAGATGCAGTCTGACTTCAAAGAAAGCTCCCAATTAGTCAACTCTTACGACATGTTTTTGGGGAGGCAGTCGGTCTATTCTTGTTTTCCCCACAATGGGGCCCCGGAACTCACACGGGGGACTGTTCTTGTTATTTTAACAGCCTTTCAATAAAATTCAAAGGAAATTAGCGGTAGCAGCAGCTCTGGATTTCCTGAGAAGACAACAGGTGAAATGTTTTGGCCATTTAATGCGAATGTCAGCAGAAACTATACCACAGCAAGCAATGATGTACAGACCTGGTGGGAAGCCAAGAAGAGGCTGACCATTCAAGTGATGGACAGAGGAAATAACAGAGGCCCTGTGATTCCCAATTTACGAAGCACACAAACGGGCATTTCCCGTAAATTAAACTTCACCTCAACACAGCAAGGTACAAGAGGAATGAGACGAGATCGACTGAACTCAATCTTTGAAATAGTAACTACTGTTCTCTTAGCTTTTACACTGTACATTATTTCCCTCACAGCTTGGTCTAAAGATGATGGTTATGCATACGACAGCAGTTGGGACTAAGAAGTCAAAGAAGGCGGACAAATATGTCCAATTGTGGTTCACTGCTAGTGGAGGATTTTTCCCAGGATACCACAGTGAAGATCAGCTTGGAGGCTGGGACGAGAAGCGTCAGATATCTAATCCGTGGTTCACAAGCAACTGCAATCAGCGTTTTTTCTGTACTTTGGAAGTGTTGAGTTATTCTGGCTCATTGGTATTTAGGGTGCATAATGAGAACTAGTGGAAGAAACCGTTAATGTTCTCCAAGGTCACGGCAATGAGCTATAAAAGTGTCCTGATGCCAAAATTAGCTGGGATAAGATATCCAGTCTAATCTTCATCAACAGCGAAAGTGGCGATGTTAAAAATGACTAGCGTTATTTTGCATGTTGGTGAGTTCTTTGCATGTTGGTGAGTTCTTTGCACTTATTCATTTTCACTCACATTATCTGTATTGAAACTGAAATACACCTTGAGAATGTCACTCCCTGGTGTTGTTCAGTTGGAAGAGTTACGCATTCGGAATTGAAGTGTTACTGTCTCCATTGGCCAGTTTTAGTTGAAGATTTGGATTGTTGTCACTCTTATTTTGAGTGAGGAATGTTTGATTGTTCAAATAACAATGACCTTAGCGTTCAACCTGACTTGTGTTGAATTTCATTGGGACGAACACTGCCATTACGAAAGCCTCAGTGAGAGCCCTAGCAATCATATCCCTAAGCTTTTTACAGCACCTAACATCACTTCAGAGTAAAATGCTTGAGAAACTCACGCAATCTGATGTTTTGAAAAGTTCCTATTACTGAATTCACCGTAAGCATGTGGACTGTTTGCTTTCAATAGGAGTCTTTTTTTTTTAAATATAAATTGCAAAAGAAAAAGCCAAATGAAAAACAAATGCTTGTTGAAATTTTTTTTTAAATGTCTTACAAGGACTTAATTTTTAACAGGTTGCATTGCAAATTTCAACAACTTACAGTGAATGGGTACTAAGGTTTCAATTTGGTCATGACTTCTAGAACGGACTATAGTGCTACACTGTTCTATGTTTACGCATACAATGCTTATCCTGTAAGCGAGTCCTCTGATACAGATTTACTTATGTTATATTGTTCTATACATGCCTACCTTACACTACTGTTCTATGTTCTATACATGCCTACCTTACACCACTGTTCTATGTTCTATACATGCCTACCTTACATTACTGTTCTATGTTCTATACATGCCTACCTTACACCACTGTTCTATGTTCTATACATGCCTACCTTACACCACTGTTCTATGTTCTATACATGCCTACTTTACACTACTGTTCTATGTTCTATACATGCCTACCTTACACTACTGTTCTATGTTCTATACATGCCTACCTTACACTACTGTTCTATGTTCTATACATGCCTACCTTACACTACTGTTCTATGTTCTATACATGCCTACCTTACACTACTGTTCTATGTTCTATACATGCCTACCTTACACCACTGTTCTATGTTCTATACATGCCTACCTTACACTACTGTTCTATGTTCTATAATGCCTCACTTACACTACTGTTCTATGTTCTATACATGCCTCACTTACACCACTGTTCTATGTTCTATACATGCCATCCTTACACTACTGTTCTATGTTCTATACATGCCATCCTTACCCTGTTTGTGAGCTCCTTGATGAAGATCTGCTGGTCCCAGTGCCCTTCAAACGTACACAACACCTCACTGCCCATTCGAATGCAGCCTGTGATACGATTGGCTGACTCACCGTTTCCAAAAAATGGCTGGAAAATTTGAAGAAGAAACAAAAACAATTTCAGCAGAAGATGAAATCAATAACTATGCTCCAAGGAGGATTCAAACAAACACCTCAAAAGTGTGGCAAAAACGACAATAATCATGCCACTGTCTTGTAACCTGCCAACATTGTTGTAAAGGACGTCAAGAGTGTTAATCACATGACATCATGGTGCAGATAAACACAGTGATGTTATCATGACAGTTTAAAGATAACCGTCTTAATTTTAACATGCACCCAAAAACAAAACACTGGCATTTCTGTCCAAATGACCTGCATTGACACATGACTTTGTTGACATTTGGCCCCTGTGTCTCCTACAGCTTTCAGATTTTGTATTGTTCAGCGTGCCATCAATACCTGAAGATCTGTTTCCTACACTCTTTAAGCAGATTTCCCAGGCAACAGATGACTGTGTGCATAATATATATGTGCTCAATATCTGTAGGCTAAGTGAAAGCCTGTTTGTTCACTCAATATCTGTAGGCTAAGTGAAAGCCTGTTTGTTCACTCAATGTCTGTAGGCTAAGTGAAAGCCTGTTTGTTCACTCAATGTCTGTAGGCTAAGTGAAAGCCTGTTTGTTCACTCAATATCTGTAGGCTAAGTGAAAGCCTGTTTGTTCACTCAATATCTGTAGGCTAAGTGAAAGCCTGTTTGTTCACTCAATGTCTGTAGGCTAAGTGAAAGCCTGTTTGTTCACTCAATATCTGTAGGCTAAGTGAAAGCCTGATTGTTCACTCAATGTCTGTAGGCTAAGTGAAAGCCTGTTTGTTCACTCAATATCTGTAGGCTAAGTGAAAGCCTGTTTGTTCACTCAATATCTGTAGGCTAAGTGAAAGCCTGTTTGTTCACTCAATGTCTGTAGGCTAAGTGAAAGCCTGTTTGTTCACTCAATGTCTGTAGGCTAAGTGAAAGCCTGTTTGTTCACTCAATATCTGTAGGCTAAGTGAAAGCCTGTTTGTTCACTCAATATCTGTAGGCTAAGTGAAAGCCTGTTTGTTCACTCAATATCTGTAGGCTAAGTGAAAGCCTGTTTGTTCACTCAATATCTGTAGGCTAAGTGAAAGCCTGTTTGTTCACTCAATGTCTGTAGGCTAAGTGAAAGCCTGTTTGTTCACTCAATGTCTGTAGGCTAAGTGAAAGCCTGTTTGTTCACTCAATGTATGTAGGCTAAGTGAAAGCCTGTTTGTTCACTCAATGTCTGTAGGCTAAGTGAAAGCCTGTTTGTTCACTCAATATCTGTAGGCTAAGTGAAAGCCTGTTTGTTCACTCAAGGTCTGTAGGCTAAGTGAAAGCCTGTTTGTTCACTCAATATCTGTAGGCTAAGTGAAAGCCTGTTTGTTCACTCAATATCTGTAGGCTAAGTGAAAGCCTGTTTGTTCACTCAATGTCTGTAGGCTAAGTGAAAGCCTGTTTGTTCACTCAATGTCTGTAGGCTAAGTGAAAGCCTGTTTGTTCACTCAATATCTGTAGGCTAAGTGAAAGCCTGTTTGTTCACTCAATATCTGTAGGCTAAGTGAAAGCCTGTTTGTTCACTCAATGTCTGTAGGCTAAGTGAAAGCCTGTTTGTTCACTCAATGTCTGTAGGCTAAGTGAAAGCCTGTTTGTTCACTCAATATCTGTAGGCTAAGTGAAAGCCTGTTTGTTCACTCAATATCTGTAGGCTAAGTGAAAGCCTGTTTGTTCACTCAATATTTGTAGACTAAGTGAAAGCCTGTTTGTTCACTCAATATCTGTAGGCTAAGTGAAAGCCTGTTTGTTCACTCAATGTCTGTAGGCTAAGTGAAAGCCTGTTTGTTCACTCAATGTCTGTAGGCTAAGTGAAAGCCTGTTTGTTCACTCAATGTCTGTAGGCTAAGTGAAAGCCTGTTTGTTCACTCAATGTCTGTAGGCTAAGTGAAAGCCTGTTTGTTCACTCAATATCTGTAGGCTAAGTGAAAGCCTGTTTGTTCACTCAATATCTGTAGGCTAAGTGAAAGCCTGTTTGTTCACTCAATATCTGTAGGCTAAGTGAAAGCCTGTTTGTTCACTCAATATCTGTAGGCTAAGTGAAAGCCTGTTTGTTCACTCAATGTATGTAGGCTAAGTGAAAGCCTGTTTATTCACTCAATGTCTGTAGGCTAAGTGAAAGCCTGTTTGTTCACTCAATGTCTGTAGGCTAAGTGAAAGCCTGTTTGTTCACTCAATATCTGTATTAATTATGACAACCTTATAATGTCTACAAGACAACTATGATTTATCTATATGTCTCTCTCAAAGAAAGAGGGAGCAGAAGGAGGAGAGAGACAAACAGAGGCAGACAAACAGAGAAGACAGACCCTCAAAATCTTCAGAAAAGGACAAAGATAAAGACATAATTTCACCCAGAGATGGATGTATGAATTGCTGACATGACCAACTTCTGCGGCGTGTGATCTAAAATCGTAAACTCACATCTGTGTTAAACTAACCTTTAACTTGAAGTCAAGGTCACAGTGGTAACCAGTTTTGGGACAGTTCAAGGTCACTTTGCCACCCATTTCCATGGTCAAGGTGCCTAAGAGTATGCCTGGAACAAATGTGTACTGGTTAGACTAACAACCTTATAATGTAATGCACACAAATCTGGCTAGTTGTTCTCTCTGCCTTGCTATATTGACTAGATATTGCCAGTGCCAGACCAAGCCCACATTGTTGTTTGTTAATGAAGGTGGGTTGGGCATGGTTCCAGAAATCCCACTCTACAGAAACACCTGTGTGACAGAAACTCACATAACAACGCAAGACTGAATGTAAAAGAAAACTTAATTTTGAGTCCTATGTCTTCTTCTACATTCACCCAAATCTGTCATTGCCTTTTTCTCTTTTATAGCATGGCTGCGACATATACGTCTTTCGGTTGACACTTCCCACTTCTGAGGTCATTTATTGACTGGATTAGCCTTCCTGGGAGTCCTTTGTGATGTATAAAAACACAAACAGAATGATGATGATGGTATATCTGGATGGCCCCCAGAAACCTCACGTCTGCTGCCAACAGATGTCTCTTAGCCTGTCTACTTACTGTCAATGTTTGGCCTACACTCAACAGATGTCTCTTAGCCTGTCTACTTACTGTCAATGTTTGGCCTACACTCAACAGATGTCTCTTAGCCTGTCTACTTACTGTCAATGTTTGGCCTACATTCAACAGATGTCTCTTAGCCTGTCTACTTACTGTCAATGTTTGGCCTACATCCAACAGCTGTCTCTTAGCCTGTCTACTTACTGTCAATGTTTGGCCTACATCCAACAGATGTCTCTTAGCCTGTCTACTTACTGTCAATGTTTGGCATACATTCAACAGATGTCTCTTAGCCTGTCTACTTACTGTCAATGTTTGGCATACATTCAACAGATGTCTTTTAGCCTGTCTACTTACTGTCGATGTTTGGCCTACATCCAACAGCTGTCTCTTAGCCTGTCTACTTACTGTCAATGTTTGGCCTACATTCAACAGCTGTCTCTTAGTCTGTCTACTTACTGTCAATGTTTGGCCTACACTCAACAGCTGTCTCTTAGCCTGTCTACTTACTGTCAATGTTTGGCCTACACTCAACAGCTGTCTCTTAGCCTGTCTACTTACTGTCAATGTTTGGCATACATCCAACAGATGTCTCTTAGCCTGTCTACTTACTGTCAATGTTTGGCCTACATTCAACAGATGTCTCTTAGCCTGTCTACTTACTGTCAATGTTTGGCCTACATCCAACAGATGTCTCTTAGCCTGTCTACTTACTGTCAATGTTTGGCCTACATTCAACAGATGTCTCTTAGCCTGTCTACTTACTGTCAATGTTTGGCCTACACTCAACAGATGTCTCTTAGCCTGTCTACTTACTGTCAATGTTTGGCCTACACTCAACAGATGTCTCTTAGCCTGTCTACTTACTGTCAATGTTTGGCCTACATTCAACAGATGTCTCTTAGCCTGTCTACTTACTGTCAATGTTTGGCCTACATCCAACAGATGTCTCTTAGCCTGTCTACTTACTGTCAATGTTTGGCCTACATCCAACAGATGTCTCTTAGCCTGTCTACTTACTGTCAATGTTTGGCATTCATCCAACAGATGTCTCTTAGCCTGTCTACTTACTGTCAATGTTTGGCATACATCCAACAGCTGTCTCTTAGCCTGTCTATTTACTGTCAATGTTTGGCCTACATTCAACAGATGTCTCTTAGCCTGTCTCCTTACCGTCAATGTTTGGCCTAAATTCAACAGATGTCTCTTAGCCTGTCTACTTATTGTCAATGTTTGGCCTACATTCAACAGATGTCTCTTAGCCTGTCTACTTACTGTCAATGTTTGGCCTACATCCAACAGATGTTTCTTACCCTGTCTACTTACTATCAATGTTTGGCCTACACTCAACAGATGTCTCTTAGCCTGTCTACTTACTGTCAATGTTTGGCCTACATCCAACAGATGTCTCTTAGCCTGTCTCCTTACTGTCAATGTTTGGCCTAAATTCAACAGATGTCTCTTAGCCTGTCTACTTACTGTCAATGTTTGGCCTACATTCAACAGATGTCTCTTAGCCTGTCTACTTACTGTCAATGTTTGGCCTACATCCAACAGATGTTTCTTACCCTGTCTACTTACTATCAATGTTTGGCCTACACTCAACAGATGTCTCTTAGCCTGTCTACATACTGTCAATGTTTGGCCTACATCCAACAGATGTCTCTTAGCCGGTCTACTTACTGTCAATGTTTGGCCTACACTCAACAGATGTCTCTTAGCCTGTCTACTTACTGTCAATGTTTGGCCTACATCCAACAGATGTCTCTTAGCCTGTCTACTTACTGTCAATGTTTGGCCTACATCCAACAGATGTCTCTTAGCCTGTCTACTTACTGTCAATGTTTGGCCTACATCCAACAGCTCTTCAGCAAAGCAATGTATCTGTCTGTCTCACTGCAGACTGGCAAGTTTGAACAGGAACAGTCACAGCTGCCGTCTGTCTGTCTCACTGCAGACTGGCAAGTTTGAACAGGAACAGTCACAGCTGCCGTCTGTCTGTCTCACTGCAGACTGGCAGTTTGAACAGGAACAGTCACAGCTGCCGTCTGTCTGTCTCACTACAGACTGGCAAGTTTGAACAGGAACAGTCACAGCTGCCGTCTGTCTGTCTCACTGCAGACTGGCAAGTTTGAACAGGAACAGTCACAGCTGCCATCTGTCTGTCTCACTGCAGACTGGCAAGTTTGAACAGGAACAGTCACAGCTGCCGTCTGTCTGTCTCACTGCAGACTGGCAAGTTTGAACAGGAACAGTCACAGCTGCCGTCTGTCTGTCTCACTGCAGACTGGCAAGTTTGAACAGGAACAGTCACAGCTGCTGTCTGTCTGTCTCACTGCAGACTGGCAAGTTTGAACAGGAACAGTCACAGCTGCCGTCTGTCTGTCTCACTGCAGACTGGCAAGTTTGAACAGGAACAGTCACAGCTGCCGTCTGTCTGTCTCACTGCAGACTGGCAAGTTTGAACAGGAACAGTCACAGCTGCCGTCTGTGTGTCTCACTGCAGACTGGCAAGTTTGAACAGGAACAGTCACAGCTGCCGTCTGTCTGTCTCACTGCAGACTGGCAAGTTTGAACAGGAACAGTCACAGCTGCCGTCTGTCTGTCTCACTGCAGACTGGCAAGTTTGAACAGGAACAGTCACAGCTGCCGTCTGTCTGTCTCACTGCAGACTGGCAAGTTTTGAACAGGAACAGTCACAGCTGCCGTCTGTCTGTCTCACTGCAGACTGGCAAGTTTGAACAGGAACAGTCACAGCTGCCGTCTGTCTGTCTCACTGCAGACTGGCAAGTTTGAACAGGAACAGTCACAGCTGCCTTCTGTCTGTCTCACTGCAGACTGGCAAGTTTGAACAGGAACAGTCACAGCTGCCGTCTGTCTGTCTCACTGCAGACTGGCAGGTTTGAACAGGAACAGTCACAGCTGCCTTTGGTTATAGAAAAGCTAACTTTATTATGCAACCTTTTTCTGTGTCTCTGACTCAGACAGAAGACGGGAAATCCCCCAAAATCTGGATAAAATTGTAGTGTATTCTATAAAAATTAAACTAACATGACTAAAACACAACAAACAATGTGATTATGAAGCTCAAGGCAGGACTAGGAGAGACCTATTCATGTTACAGGTCTGCAGGAGAGACCTGTTCATGTTACAGATCTGCAGGAGAAATCTGTTCATGTTACAGATCTGCAGGAGAAATCTGTTCATGTTACAGGTCTGCAGGAGAAACCATTCAGCAAAAGGTGTGCTTGGAATCCATGCGTCATGTTGTTACAGGTATGTAGATTCTAGTTTGCTGCATTCTGCAGTCTGATGATGCTACTGTACTCTGGTCTGTCAGTTTCAAATGATTGTTTTCAAATTCTGTCTTCATGTCAAACTGAAGAACCAGCTGAACATAACTCTAATGTGCTATGCTAACAACTGTAGAATATCTCTATAAAAAAGTTAGTTTTGTATCTATTACAGTAACAACCCCAGCATTTCTTAACATCCCAATTTTACCAGCAATTTTATGTTTAGAAGTTTGCCATCCCAATAACACCGTGGAAATCTTCTTCTTCTTCTTCTTTCGTTAGCGCTGTCGCTAGTATGAATTTTACTGTCTTTTGTAATTCACTAAGCGGCCCATAAAGTTTGACTTCCACAAGTGTCTCTTTTGGCCAGAAGTTTTGCCTGTAAGCGTTGAATCTGGGACAGTCTTGGAGGATGTGATCTGTTGTCTCAGGTGCCATTCCACAGGTACACATGGCTGATTGGCCAATCTTAAATTTGTTGTACATGTGGCAGCGAAGTCGACCGTGCCCTGTTCTAAGGCAAAGGATAATGACTTGCTCTGGTCTGTCCATAATATGGTAATCGTCTTGTGCCAGTTTCGGTGGCATTCTGATTGATTTGATCATTCTCTTCTTCTGTTGATAAGAGACTGGTATGTCGGGTTGTTCTTCAGTTGCACCTTTCTTAGCTAGTTTATCAGCTTTTTCGTTTCCGGGAACTCCACAGTGGGAAGGTATCCACTGCATTACTAATTTACAGCGGTTGCCTAGTTCGGATAATAGTGTCTGTATGCTTGGTAATTTTCCAGACTGGAGTGCCTGAAGTACAGCTTTTGCATCTGTCAGGAATACCACTGGTTGTGAAAAATACCCTGTATATAGTAGTTTCTCTACCGCTATCTTGATGGCTTGAACTTCTGCATCATAGTTGTGACAGTGCTTTCCTGTTGGTATTTTGGCTGTATCCCTGGTTTTATTAGGATACTCAATGTACACTCCTGCATCTCCGTTTCTGACTGCACTTTCTACTGACCCATCTGTGTAAACACGGACCCAAAGATTATGTGGGTATTCATCATCAAGTAGACTTAGGGTGGCTGTTTAGCGCTGCGCACTGTTTTGTTCTTCCTTGTCAAATACTCCTTTCACTTCTGTCTTGATGTGTACTAGAAACTTATACTCCTCTCTCCAAGGGTCCGTTCTGGGACAGCATTTAAGGATCTATCAGTTGCAGGCAAATCAGTGGTTTGTCTGCAGAGCCAATTGGCCTGGTGGATAAAACTACTTCTCTTTAGTCGTCCCAAAGCTAGATTTTGGAATCTTTCATTCATAGGGTGACTGGGCATACTAAGAAACTTTTCTGCTTGTAAAAGCATCTTGGTGTCTCTGCGTTCACTCAGTGCTTGGGTCATCCCCATTTTCTCCATCACAACTATAGGTGTTGATTTCATACTGCCTGTGGTAATTCTGAGTGCTTGATTTTGCACTTTGTCTAATTCTTGCAACGTGGTTTTTGCTGCCGAACTCCATGCTGTTGATCCGTATTCAAGATGTGGTCGAACACTTTGCTGGTAAACTTTCCCAAGTATTTTTCCGCTAGCACCCCATGTGGTTCCACTTAGTTTTCTCAGAATGGCTACCCTCCTTCTGGCTTTGGCCGCTGCCTTGTTGTTGTGTTTTCTTCAAGTTAACCTATCATTAAACGTTACTCCGAGGTATGTGGGCTCCTTATCCTCTCTCAGGGGTACTCCATTTATGTGCATGTCGCCTGCTTTTTGTTTTGGAGAGAGGGTAAAGAGGGTGGTGCTGCATTTGTCTATGTTGATGCTGACACACCATTTGTCGGCCCATTTAGCCATTGCATCTATGGCTCTTTGTAGCAGTCTGGTGGCCACTGTCGCATTTTCATTTGTACACCAGAGAACCAAGTCATCAGCATACATTGCAGCTTTAATTCCATGGGGTAGTTCAGAAAGCAGGTCATTGATATAGACTAGGAAGAGTGTGGGGGACAGGACACCTCCTTGTGGGACGCCATGGCGCAGCAAAACTTTCTTACTCTTAAGTCCATCTATCTGTACTCGGGATCTTCTGTTACACAAGTATGCTTTCATCCATTTGTACATACTCCCATTCACCCAGCAGTCTCTCAGTTTCTTCAGTAGACCTTCTTTTCAAACCTTGTCAAATGCTTTCTTCAGATCTATCCATGCTGTTAGCACTAGCTAATTTTCCTGGAAGGCATCCTGAATTTCTTGCTAATATTTTCACTTTCCAAGTACCATTTGAGTCTAAGGTTGACAATACGTTCTATTGTTTTACAGAGGCAGCTGGTAAGACTGATCGGTCTATAGCTGGAGGCATCGGAACTGTCCTTTCCTGGTTTAAGCAGAGGTATTGTGATTGCTTCTCTCCATATTTGAGGAACTTTGCCACTGGTCCAACATTGATTAAAGATCTGTAGCAGTTTATTTTGGCGGTTGTTCCAAGGTTCTTGATCATTTTGTTGGTGATTCCATCAATTCCAGGTGATTTTCCCATTCTTAGCTTTGATATTGCTAACTCTAGCTCACTAGATGTAAGTGCTGCCACCAGTGCCTCAGGAATTATATCATTTTGTCTTGTATGCTGTTTGTTCTTTCGAACCTCTCGCTGTTTCTCTGGGCTGACATTGATGTTGCTGTCTTCGGCAAAAGAATCTGCAAAGTGGTCAGCTGCCTGTTTTCTTGTTAGGATGGCTCCTTCTTTGCGTAGTGCAATATTAACATTACTGTTGAAATCAACACAAGGTGGTCTGCTGCCAAATTGCCTGCAGCAGGGATGGCAAAAATGTGTTAGGCCTGCGCACTTCATAGGGAGTGGGTTTAGCACTGAAAAATATTTCCAAATCAGAAGTGGTTACTGAAGGAGGCTGATGAAGTCTGCTCTAACAATACACTTAGAGACGGAATACGGCATGTTTGTGGGGTCTGGCAATCTTTCACACAATTACCTTTACAGTGAATGTACGGCATGTTTGTGGGGTCAGGCAATCTTTCACACAATTACCTTTACAGTGACTGTACGGCATGTTTGTGGGGTCAGGCAATCTTTCACACAATTACCTTTACAGTGAGCGTACGGTATGTTTGTGGGGTCAGGCAATCTTTCACACAATTACCTTTACAGTGAGCGTACGGCATGTTTGTGGGGTCAGGCAATCTTTCACACAATTACCTTTACAGTGAGCGTACGGCATGGTTATGAGGTAATCTTCTCCACGCTCAAGGAAAGTCAGAGTGGCCACACCATCCAGGATGGCAGAGATGGAGTTGCCTGGAACACACAAAGTTGACACCCCAGGTGATCATTTACTATTAAATGCTTGGGTTAAATGCTTATAATGTTACACACCTTCTAATGACAATCTACTATTTAGTAGAAACTGTACAATTTTAGAATCTCTCATTCAGAAAGTAAATTTATTCTATCTCCGACATCTGTTAATAATATAACATTTTTTCTACTGTGTGTCATCATCATGTAGCAGGTCCTTTGCAGAACGTCGCTCTCATCACAGTCTGCCTGAAAGAAACTCGGTCTCTTGCCAGTTCTCTCGACTCATGTACTTTCATACTCAAGGAGTCACTTATATCCTGTGCCCATCTTCGTGTTGGTCGCCCCCTGCCCCTCCTTCCTGGTACCATGCCTTCTGCTTTAATTTTTTTCCAATCCGTCGTGGCGCTTAATGTGACAAAAATATTTCAGCTTCCTTGATGTTCAGATCTTTCAAGATGTCAGTATTTCTCCTCTTCTTTGTCCAAGATATTCTGAGAATCTTTCTATAGCATTTCAGCTCAAAAGCCCCTATTCCTACTGTATGTACTTACTCATAATATATATTATGTTACATGTTACCTATAATGGTAAACATATTACACTGTTGGACATCGGTCATGAATGGTAAACATATTACCCTACTGGATGTTTACCTACTAGTTAAATGTATTCCAATGCTGGATGTTTGTGTCACTTCAGCAGTCAACATATGACAAAATGTTATGAATCAAATGATGGTTAGAATCCATCTCATTCTAACAATTTACAGTTTTAAAAAAAATAAATAACTGTTATTTGTACTGACTACAAGCTACACAAATTTGACTGGAAAGACAGGAAGTAATGTATGGTTTTTCTTGGACAAAAATCCAAATAATGAACACGAACCGTAAAACTTGGACTTTGCCAGGATACAGCCACTAATGTTGAATCCATCATGCCTGTTTGTAACATGGAAGGCAGAGATTGGCGGGTGATGAGAAATCTGGCAATGGAGAAAAACATTTTGTTTATTGGCAGTGAATAGCCGATTTGAACGTTTACTAGCGAGAAATAGTACATTCAATTACATTCAACAAACAAGAACAAAACTGTAGCAACACTCTTCTCATTGTCTACAAAGGAGGAAAAGTTTATATTAAAATTCAACAATGATGCTGTTCCACGCTCCAATACTCCAACCTTCCTGGGAGTCAAGCTTGACAGTCGTCTGACATGGAAACATCACATACTAGAAACAATTAAAAAAGCTATGAGAAAACAAGGTGTGATGAAGAAATTGGCAGGCACCACTTGGGGAACAGACAGTTGCATCTTGAAGCAGGCATACACCGGCACAGTCAGACTAAATCTCAAATACACATCATCAATCATCGTCATGGATAACAGCAGCCCATTCCAATAAACAGGTACTAGACAAACCGCAAAACCGAAGTTTGTGAACTATTCAGCCCCCACCGGATGAACTTGCTCTAACTACAAGGCACAGCTCTCAGCCCTATTGATGGCAGCACAGTATATGAACAATCTGCAAATCACCGCAGGCAGGATGGTTTTTCTCACTGACTCACTAACAGCGCACTACAAAGTCTAACAAAGGAACTTGCTATGTTGTCAAAAAAGACAGAAACTCACTAGCAGTGAATTCCATCTCACTGTGGCATCAAAGGCAATGAAAGCGCTGATGCTTTAGCCAAGGAAGGCAGTAACAAACCACAGACCTACCAGCTACTATCTATTGCAGAAGTCAAAACTCTCATTAGGAGAAAATCAGAAACAGATTGGAAAACCAACACTGGTTATAACTACAAAAAAAGATTTTCTGAAACACCTGAACAGAATAGACCAAGTCACAGTTTTTTACTTAAGTACTGGACACTGCAGACTCAATAAACACTCATATAAATTAGGTATGAGCCAAACAGCTCTCTGCCAGTAGAACTGCCAACTAAGCTTTGGGGAACCTAAGAGACCTTGAAAAGACATCCCAGTTTATGGTCCACAGTGGATTATGCGCATGACCAGAGATTGCTGAAGATGAAGACATTCAACAGAATAACAAAAACAAATATCATAGAATACAAGAAAGTCCCATACAGTGAAGAATACAAGAATTAAGGTGGAACAGTTATAACATACAGTAGAAGCACATACAGTAGAACACATACAGAAGGTACAACATATATTAGAATAAATACAAAACAACATGAAACAGAACAACCTTTATGAAAAAAAAAACTTTTAAAATAGAAAATTAATTTTTGATTTCTTCCCTTGATTCCTTCTTACTACACTTGCTGTCTATTGTAGTATTGCAATATATGACTCATTCCAACAATGTTACCAAAATTATTTCATATCCTAATTTCCAAAAATATTTTTCTCCTACCATCTTCTTTCTCAAACTCACATCAGTTTGGGAAATGAACCGTGGCATTGATTTGAGAGCACGAAAACCTTCATATAAATCTTTAGCTGATGGCCACATCTCACTGGCTGGAGAGTTCTGGGTGGACGGGACTGCTGCCGTCTGATGTATTCTTATCTGGTGAATCCATCACCAGTCTCATAGTGGAAAAAAGATACTGGTGGAATGTTTAATGATGACTCCTGACTCCCAGTCTTCTGGCAAATATATCTTTGATGATCTCGATCTCTCGCCCCTCCCCCCTCCCCAATCAGATGTAACTTAACTATGAAACTCAACCAATGTTTGTGCCAGTGTGAGTTCCAAGGCCCCCCTGTGGAAAAAACAAGAACAGATCCGCTGTCTCCTAAAAGCCTATCGTAAGAATCCACTAATAAGGTGTGTTTGCTTTGAAAATGAAGTGCATCTGCCTGAAAGGTAAGGAACCAACAGTCTGCAGATAAATAAGCCAGGTCTGTAAAAAGAATCAGCACACTAAAGTTCACAACAAGACCAAAGTCCAGAAGTGGATGAACAACCAGAACTTTCCACCAGAGTTTGAAGCTGGTAAATGCAAAGAAGAAGAAGACCCCATTTTTGAAAATGTTTCTCTTTAGTTTAGTAAATCTGTGAGTTAAACAGGGACACAGCTGGCCAGTATTTCTTTGCTAGCTGGGTGTACAGGCAAAGGACAATCCTGCAGAACATGTCCAGACTTCTGCTGGCTTTGTGCACACATGACAGATGAGAGATGAAGCACTTGACGAGTCAGACTGCCTCAACCACCCACAGAAACTGTCGAAGTAACTCAAATTCCAAACTATATTTCCAGACAGGAATAGCTGTATAGTTAAATATATGACACAGAACACCCATCAATAGGACATATGTACGAGATTTTTGAATACCTGTTCAGCAATGTAAAATGTGCGACTGTTGGTCTGTGGGTGAGTCCAGTAGCAGCGGTAGGTCTCACCAATGATTGGGTTATAGGGCTTCTTCAGACCCTGCGAGAGACAGAGAGGTGGATCTTGATTAGTTGAAGCATGATCCTGGACATTAACAAAATGGTTACGAGAAAGATCATTTTATTTGGCCCCTAGAAAATTATAATATCTAATGAGATTACAGTCATATCTGATTTCTAGAATATAGTTAGTTAGTTAATTAGTTAGTTGGGTTATCCTCATTGCACTCCGGACATGTCCATAGGTGCTCAGATCCTCCCCTCAGTATGAACCCCAACGTCCGATGGCTAATAGTACCAGTTCTATGTTGATTAACAAGTCTTCTGGCCTGTCTGGTGTGCGTCTCGTTTTTTGCTGTGCCGATCTTAATTCCCAAGTCTGCCATTCTGGCGAGTGATGTGGATTCACTGCCACCAGAGTCCTCTATTCTTCCCATTTCTCTGAGGGCATTGATAATATCAGCATGATCCATAGGCTGACCGTCGGTAGTGATAGCGGATCCAGCCAACCTGTCAGCTCTTTCATTTCCATCGACGCCTGCATGTCCCGGAACAAAAATAAAGGTGACTCCACGCACAGTGGACTTTTGTAATGATTCAAGCCATTGTCTTCCCACTGAACCTGCCTGAACCCTCCGGATCATACTCATTGAATCACTGAGTATACATACACGGGTGTATTTTTGTGTTTCAAGCCAGGCAAACGCTTGCGTCACTGCCATCACCTCCATTGTCATGCTGCTGGTTGTCATGGAGAAGGTGCCATTGGCTTCTTTGACTGTTCTGCACGCTGAGCGTGCTGTAAATGCCCATGCGCTTCTTCTTTGGCGTATAACGGATCCGTCTGTATAGATTATTGCATCTGCTTCGTCTGAATTTTCACCGATGAGAGCGTTGACCTCTGCATTAACAGCAACAGGATTCTCTTCTCTACATCGCCTGTTGAGTGTGACAATACAGGAAAATGTACAAATAAATGCCTGAGGCACAGGTATCCATTCTGCACCAGGTATGATGTCGGTTAGGCTGCATATTTGCCTAATAACATCTTCTGCCCGACCTAGCCACGATTTCCCACTCTTCAGTCTGTCGCCCTTTTCACTAAAAAGCGCTTGATGCAGTGGGTGTTTCTTATCAGCGCATATTTTGAGATATGCCCGAGCCCTCCACATCCTGATCCTTTGGTTCATTGTTGGAAAATTAAGTAGATACCTCATTGCTCCACAGGATGTGTCTCTTGTACATCCCAAAATAATGCACATGGCTTCATTTTGCACCTTTTCGAGTCGTTCAATCTGGGTAGCACTGACAGTGAGGATGGCCAGAGCGTATTCAATGGGTGAAAGGACCAGACCGTAGAATAGAAGTATTAGTAGTCTTTGCTCAATATTGGAAGCAGCCATAATCCTCATTGCAGATAGACCTTTGCGTGCTTTTGTTATCACATCTAGAATATAGTGCACTGATCTGGTTCCTAAAAGATTATAAATGTATCTCGTGTCTTTAACCCTACTACCCCGAGAAAGCTAACTGTAGTCTTTTCCACTTGTGACACTGTCCCGTACATGCTGAAATATCACCTTTTCTGCAGCGGCCTGTTTTCAAAGAGTGTAGTTAAATGCCCCTGGTTCTGTATGCACCTGCGCAGTTGAGGCCTGGAGGTGAATATATTAACTAAATATAGCATTTAGAAGGATTTTCTTTTAAGCAAAGCTGACTCAGCCTCAGAGATAGAGGTCACGGGGTCATGACAATAGTCACCCAACACAAATTTGTTTTAGGTCGCCGGGAATTCATTCAACTGCTTCACACTGTCTTTGTTCATTCAATTTATTAATTTCAAAACATTCATTCAATTTATTAATTTCAAAACATTCATTCACTTTACATATTTCAGAACACACAGATGTTTTTAAAGGATTTTCTCAGAAATTCTTAAGGGTTCATGGGGGAAAAAAAATGTATGTGGCAAAAGAGCAAAGATTACAATGTTATCTAATTAAGATGACAAATATATTTGCTTCCGAGAAGATAATAAATGCATCTGTTCCAAGATGATTATCTTTTATTTGGCTTTGAGAAATTCACAATCTGGCTCTTAAAAGACACAGTTTTGTCTGTCCTCACAAAGATTACAATTATTTCTGGCTCCATTAACATAAAACCTGATTCTATTCACATAAAGCTAAAACAGACAAGTGTAAAGCGATATGAACATAAAAAACACAAGTAGAAATACATTCTGGAACACATATGGACTACAATCGTATGTGACCCTATAAAATCAGAAATTACCTTTGGCTTCTTGTAGAAACCGGAGAGGTACCATTTGACCACCATCTTCATCCTCTCCAAGGCTGTCTCTTGTTGCACAGCCCTGCCAGTTGGAGACAAGGGAGGTAACTCTCAGAGAAATCAGCTCAAATACTGGTAATAATTTGTCTTTTATGTTGGTAATGTCTTGTTTAAATATTGTCTGACATACTGGTGACATATTGTCTGTCATAAACCTAATGTGTTGTTGGACACATGGACAACGGGTTATTAGAAACACTAACAATAAATATGTTGTTAGACATATGGATAACGGGTAAATAGAAACACTAACAATAAATATGTTTTCTCATACATGGATTTTTTTTTTTTAACGTATCCAGAAACCATGAGTTGTAAACCCTTTGGCTCGGTACTATGGATATCGCAACCCTTCGGCATTGATTCCATTATAGGTACCGTTAATCTGGGAGAAATGTGGCTTTTCTGCCTACCCCCGGGAGTGAACCCGGACCACAAGGAGTTCGTCACCTGGCCACCGCGAAAGTCAGGTTTAACCAACTTCGCTAGAGCCGGGTCTCATACATGGATATAAAACATTTGAACAAAAAAGATACAAACAACAGCTTGTACAATTTTTTTGCTGGCATGTTTCGCTCCATCTTGTCCGGTACATACTACAGTAGTAATTAAATAAAATGAAGCAAACAAGGGAATTCTTTATAACTGAAGTACAGATTAAACCACTCTCAAAAGCAGCTGTCTGTTTGACCTGAGAAAGCCCAGGCTCACTATCATGTCTTTCTGTTTACATAGTTCTGGACTGAGATAACGAATAGTTACCTGTTTGCTGGACCACACTGATTATCTTCTTTCATATGTTACTGTCTTCAGCTATGAGTTATATAATGATTAATGTTTAAATATACTGTTCTAACTATGGATGATCTTAAAACCAACATATCTGCTGACTCACTGCCCCACAATCCATCATGATACATGATACATGATATTTCATTATCACTGACTTGTGAAGTAAAATGAATTCAGTCATAAATCAACATCTGACTTGCACAGTCTTTGTAAGCAAGCGGGTTCAATACATTTGAGATCAGATCACTTGCAGATGTGTCCACGGTTGATGGTAATCTGAGATGAACAAAGGAAAGTACTCACTGGGACAAGATGTCTGCATGATAGTAGTAGTCTGTCAGCTTGTCTAGGAAAGACCTGGGTTCGAGTATGAAGGTTGGTAGAACCACTTTAGACAAGTCCATGCCAGGTCTCACCTAATGCAACACATCAAATACACAACAATGTTACAACCAAAAACATGATGTCATTTCATTCATTCTGTATTTACTTTTCTGTTCATTCAGGAACTCTCAACTTTATCAATTAAACAAAGAATATCTGTGCAAAACAGAAAAGATCAATAACAAAAGATGCATTCTGTGGTTGTACATTACAAGCAACAAAGTTATCATAAAAAACCAAATGACAGTTATCAAAATGATGACAGACAAACCAGCATGTAAGATATAAAATGAAGGTGAACATATTTAAATATAAAGCATGTAATGAACTAGGTGTAAAAAAACACTCAGGCAAACTGTCAAGAAATAGACACTATCAACAACTTCACAAGACAGATCAGATGTAGCTAATTCAGATCTGTTTCATGTTATGAGAGACCAATATTAACTCTTTCAAGACCACATTTTTTCTGGGGTTTGGACAGCAATAATTTTGAGTGGAATTTGTTTACTGCAATACGACAAAACTAAAACCTTCCCAAGAAAACATAATGGCTGTATATGAACTTATATCAAATTAAAGAGAAATATGCAGAATAAATCTAAACTATTTAATTGCCAATATTACAACAAAATATTATTAAAATCACACATCATTCAAGGATGTTAGACACATATAAAGATTATTTACATAATAAATGTTGCTTACCTTACTTTTTTACCTGTTCAACAACACTGCTTTTCAATTCTAAGAATTCACATAAATTCTCTGTTTAATTATGTATCAGCTAGTCTTTATTTGAAACAATTAATTAAAATACTTGGATGTTGTGATAATTTTTATATGACATGTCAGATTTCACAACAACCGAAAATCGGGAAAACAGCTGATTGAAACAAATGATCTGATTGAAATATTCTGTTTAATGTTCATATTCTTAGCTCAATGATTGCCAACAGGTTTGTCACTCGGATATCATTCATAATATCCAGACTATTGTCACCATCTGGCAGAGATTCATCAATGACAGAGCAGTATGATTAGTCCTAGACCTTTTCTCTTATCATTTGGTATAGAAAAATCATGTAAAAATTGTATCATATCTAAAAAAAAAAATTATCTCAGAAAGTGATACAAACGCCATGCGGAACATCACAAGCTAAAGGACTTCCCTTTGCTAATCCTAGTTTTTCAAAACATTTTCATAAAAGATCATCCCTTCTCCCCCTTCAAAGGAACAACATTAAAGTGTCTCCATGATTTGCCAGTATACTGGTGAATAGTGTGATCACGATAAATTCTAAGGCCAGTTAACTGGCAACCAGTCTTGAAAGAGTTCATCAGTTTAGTGATAACTGATGTTCTTGATAGAAGACCAGCTAAAAAGTGACAAGGGTGTTAATGCAGAATATAATACAAAGACAGCTAAAAATATATCTGAACCTTGATGCAATTAAACTATTAAGATGTTTGTTTGCTGAAATATTTAGATAGTTCTGGAGGAAGCAGGAGATGTTACCTGTTTGACAAGGGTCCAGATCAGGCTTCTGTTCTCATCATCAACTTCCTCTGTCTGACTGGCATCTCCTTGCTGGGGATACAGACAACATGGCAACAATCACAACAGGTAAAAGATGCCAGGTGAGAGTCAGGTCATCGATCAGAGACAGGAAGAAACACCTGAGATCTATCAACATTTTATATCAAACACAAGTGCTCAAGTAATAGAAATACACTGGACAACATGCATTATGTTGACAGTACATGTTCAATAGTGGACAAACACTAGGCAGCAAACAATGGCAGAGCAGTGGCTAGCACACTTGCATACCAATCCTGTGGTAGGCAGTCTCCATCAAAGCCAGTTTTGATAACTGACTGGGCTGCAAGGTTGACAGAACTTTGAATGGGTGCCAGAAAATGTTCTGGGAAATTAAGGCGGCCAGCCTGATATTGTCCCCATTACACACAGACTGTCAGTTGATCCCCGAAAATGTAGAGCTAGCAGCATCTTGGGGCACTACAAGGACCCTTTGCTGGTGATACTGTAAACAGTACAGCTGAAAATACCATGACACATTTGAAAGTTATGAAAGGATAGTCGTGATACTGAACACATCAGAACTAAGGTACCAAGGAAAAAATCATTGTTTTCATGACAGAAATAAATGTCTTAGCTTCTCTGATAGGCTACAAATACTTGTGCTCTATTTCATCTAGTTGACTGTACAAATACATAACATGGCTTCTTTAGTTCACTTAGCACATTCATGTCCAGCTCCATCATTTACCAGAAACATTCATGTCCGAGCTCCAACATTTACCAGAAACATTCATGTCCTAGCTCCAACATTTACCAGAAACATTCATGTCCTAGCTCCAACATTTACCACAAACATTTCCGTCCTAGCACCAACATTTACCAGAAACATTCAAATTCTAGATCCTTCACTGTTTTACAGATTCAAACATACCTGACCTAGCTCCTCGACTTCACTACAAACATACCTGACCTAGCTCCTCGACTTCACTACAAACATACCTGACCTAGCTCCTCGACTTCACTACAAACATACCTGACCTAGCTTCTCGACTTCACTACAAACATACCTGACCTAGCTCCTCGACTTCACTACAAACATACCTGACCTAGCTCCTCGACTTCACTACAAACATACCTGACCTAGCTCCTCGACTTCACTACAAACATACCTGACCTAGCTCCTTGACTTCACTACAAACATACCTGACCTAGCTCCTCGACTTCACTACAAACATACCTGACCTAGCTCCTCGACTTCAATACAAACATACCTGACCTAGCTCCTCGACTTCACTACAAACATACCTGACCTAGCTCCTCGACTTTACTACAAACATACCTGACCTAGCTCCTTGACCTCACTACAAACATACCTGATCTAGCTCCTCAACTTCACTACAAACATACCTGACCTAGCTCCTCGACTTCACTACAAACATACCTGACCTAGCTCCTCGACTTCACTACAAACATACCTGACCTAGCTCAACTTCACTACAAACATACCTGACCTAGCTCCTCGACTTCACTACAAACATACCTGACCTAGTTCAACTTCACTACAAACATACCTTATCTAGCTCCTCAACTTCACTACAAACATACCTGACCTAGCTCCTCGACATCACTACAAACATACCTGACCTAGCTCCTCGACTTCACTACAAACATAGACAGTCTCCTCCACCTTGGGGATGTTCTGTGGTTTGTCCACTGCTGATAGCTCAAAGTCTGACCCACTCATCCCGAGACTGGAATGATCTAGAAAAGACAACTGGCAGTCTTAGTTTCTTTGAATTTACCACACAATCTTTTTGTTTACATAAAAAAGAAGAGTTTAGTTTTACTGATACAGCCTCTGCCAGTTTTTAGTAAATTTCTATTGTTTATGTCTGCATTATTGAAATTTACAATGGGACAACATTATTTTGAAAGTCTCAGCTTCAATAAAATTGCATACTTATTTGATTAACAAATTAACTTTCATCTGAGATGGATGTCCCTGGTCAATCTCAAAGCCCTATCAGTCAGGAAATTTTAGGTAAAAATGTCCTGCCACAAATAGGGACTGAAATCAAACCATGTGCTAGTAAATTACTTACTGACCTCAACCCTTCATGTACATCAATCAGGTGGCATCTCCACATTGAAGGCTGGCTGCAGTGATCTTCAATATGCTCTATCTGCTTTCTTCGCTGTAAAAACTTTCAAACTGCTGTTTGTCCATATCTTAATGTTGTCCTTCTGTATATCCCCGCATCTCCAGAGTCTCAACTGGATTCTCTAGTTGTCTGTTCAGTGTCCACGTTTCTGCACCAGACAGCAGGGTTGAGTATATATGACACATGATGATTCTCATTTTTCATGTGTTTTTTATCTCTCAAGCTGTCTGTAATTTCTGCATCTTGTTGAAGACAGTTTTAATGATTCCTATTCTTTTTTTATTTTTTATTTATGTGCCACTTCTGCTATCATGTCTTACTACTATATGTCTAAGATACGAGAAACTTGTTACCTGTTACTCTCCATCTACTGTGATGTTCTTGTACACTCACACTTCCAAAACTCTCTCTCTCTCTCCATAAACTACACACCGTCATCATCACTAAAGTGTTCCAGTGGCTCCTCAGCTTCTTCTGTAGCTTCCTCTGTATCATCTGCTGGACTGGAACTAAGGTCACTAGGCAACGTACATGACAGGTCCGAAGTCAGGGCCACAGAAAGTTCATGGGTGATGTCATCTGTCCGTGAGGTAGTTCGCTTAATGAGACCGGTACAGCGTAAGGCTATTTCTAGTCCATCCATCCAACATTTTCCTGTGAGGCCACAGAATACAAATACATTAAAGGTGTTTCTTCTCTGGGCAAGCTCAGGTGATGGAAGGGTGAAAACTCTAGGACAACTGGTATCAACAAACATCTTCTTCTCTGGCGAGCTCAGATGATGGAAGGGTGAAAACTCTAGGACAACTGGTATCAACAAACATCTTCTTCCCTGGGCTAGGTCAGGTGATGGAAGGGTGAAAACTCTAGGACAACTGGTATCAACAAACATCTTCTTCCCTGGGCTAGGTCAAGTGATGGAAGGGTGAAAACTCTAGGACAACTGGTATCAACAAACATCTTCTTCTCTGGGCGAGCTCAGGTGATGAAAGGGTGTAAACTCTAGGACAACTCTAGCAAACATCTTCTTCCCTGGGCTAGGTCAGGTGATGGAAGAGTGACAACTCTAGGACAACTGGTATCAACAAACATCTTCTTCTTTTTAGAGTTCACCATCAGTAAACTGGCAGAAAGTTTTTGCCTGCTCGTCCACTCCTGGACTTTGGTCTTCCTCCAGAGTTTTCCATGCAAGTCCATTTTACTGATCCAGCTTATCTGTATGCAGCCTGTTGGTTCCTTGCCTCACCTCCTAGGACATGTATGTTGGAGGTGGGGGGGGGGGGGGGGAGGGCGATTCTTTGTTCTCCAAAATGCAACACCTCCAGCATGGACAAACAGTGCTGGAATCTGCATGCTTCCAACAGCTCCATGTGGATCATTTCGCTCATCTCTCCCGTAGATACAGGATTTTGTCTTCTAGAGAGAGGAACATAGGCTGCCCTCCCAAGCAGACACCATGCAGGTGAGGATTTCACTGGACTCCTGACTCCAAGCTAGGATTCAGCAAAAGTAAAGGCTGCTCTACCTACTAGTGGAGCCTCCTGCTCATGAGATCAGACTCAGATAGACCCACTGGTCCTTGATGGCTGATGTGGTCAACATCCTGCCAGCCATGTTTACTTCCCAGGACTTGACCTGCTACCCATTTAAACTGGGTAGACCTGCCAGCCATGTTTACTTCCCAGGACTTGACCTGCTACCCATATAAACTGGGTAGACCTGCCAGCCATGTTTACTTCCCAGGACTTGACCTGCTACCCATTTAAACTGGGTAGACCTGCCAGCCATGTTTGCTTCCCAGGACTTGACCTGCTACCAATTTAAACTGGGTAGACCTGCCAGCCATGTTTACTTCCCAGGACTTGACCTGCTACCCATTTAAACTGGGTAGACCTGACAGCCATGTTTGCTTCCCAGGACTTGACCTGCTACCCATTTAAACTGGGTAGACCTGCCAGCCATGTTTACTTCCCAGGACTTGACCTGCTACCCATTTAATGTGACATTATAAATATAACAATAAAGCTGACAGAATGAACATAATCAATTTTCCACACAACATACCATCACAACGGTCAAATGACTGACCACCTGTGTATATGTCTGGTGTGCAAAAGCATACTAAACTCTTTTTTTGTGTGTGTTAATAACTGCTTGTGCCACGAGGCATCACAGTTTAACACAGGATATGTAGCTGAGCCAGGGCATGCTCAGTTCTGTGTAGTTATTAAGTGCAGAAATTTATGCAGTGGATATGGTGTCATTAAAAAAAGAACTCAAAATGTGTGGAACTCAGTTCTCTCACCTTGATTCTCTGATGGAGCTCGGAATATGGCGTATGACACAGGAAGTGGCTGTACAAAGGCTCCCATTGTCTCCCCTTTTGGTCCCTGGAGAAGTCAGGTCAAGAATTATCAAATCAATAACTTTGTGGCTGAGAGTTAGAGTATTTACACAGTGCTGACACAGTGTGGGGTTCAAGTCATACTGCTGTAGTTAGCATACAGATGAATGAATACACACACACACATGCACACATATCAATTTATATATATGCTGACACAGTGCTGGGGTTCACGTCATACTGCTGTAGTTAGCATACAGATGAATGAATACACACACACACATGCACACATATTAATTTATATATATGCTGACACATACATACACGAGTGTTGTTCATAGTCCCACTTTTCAATATTATATTTACTAGGGGACACAAAAGCTGCATTTGGGCAACAATAATAAACTATCTCTCTACCTTAGTTGCCCAAATGGACTGGTCCAACGGGTGAAACAGCTTGAAGCAGAATCCTTCTTTCTTGGATGGTCTCTGCAGCAAATGGCAGGTATTCAACAGAATGGTACCAACCCAATGGTGAGTCTGAAATGTTCAAGTAAAATAATCACACACAGAAAGTGTTGACATAAACAGTTTTCCATCAAATGATATTTCTTGATTGAGCAGATAATACCGCACTGATCATACAAAATCTCATGTAAACAATGTGGACAAATCAGGGGATGGGCAGGATGGGAAAATGGTTGGGGGGGAGTAAATCTGCAGATGTTTGTTAAATGATAGCAGAAATATGGAAAGAAAAAGTAAGACTTACAGAATAAAATAATGATGGGGAAATAAAGAAAGGGAGGGTAAAGTAAACAGACCAGGATCTCCATGGAAATTGAGTTGAACAGAAGGAGTAAAGGAACAGAGAAGGGAAAGACACAGATAGAGGAAAGGAAGGATAAATCAGTAGTTTGATGACTGGTAAATCTATGAAAGATGGCCTAAGTCCCATTTGTTTACATTCAGCTGTTTAGTCTTGGAAGCTCAGAGTGAGGTTAATGGTGACACTCCTTCTGACCTGGTACTTAAATATCAACTCCACAGAGACTGTGTTGCAGAGTTATATCTCCCCTCTTCAAGTTCAGAAACCAGAAAAGTATGCAAGACCAGTAGAGAAACTAAACACTGTGAAGAGAAATGCTTGGATGTCACCAGATCAGGAAACATCATGAGTACACAAGACCGAGGCTGTGATGTAAAAAACAGCTGACACAGTTCTCCAGCAACCCTTGAAATGCACAACTTCCCCGATCAAAAACAATAACATTTCATTTACTAGTTCTTTCAATTTTAATTACCCCAATGATGTTAAGATGACTTCACGGGACAGTCAAATAATTTTTTTTTGGGGGGGGGGGGGGGGGGGGTAAGATAGGGCTTTTCCCATTCCCAGCTGCCGTCCTTTGGGAGCACGTTGCCACCAAGTCTTCTTTGGCGGGCAATGCCAGAGGGACTGAAAGAGATCAAGAAGAAAAAAAGTGGGAAGGAGGAGAAGAAGGAGAAGGTGGTGGAGAAGAGAGAAGAAGAGGTCAAGGAAGAGAAGAAGACCAATAAAACAAAGACTGATTACCTTCATTTGTTCACTCTTGTAGATGATCAGCATGGATGGCTTGCAGACACACCACAACTTGGTCCAACCCTTCAGTGTTCCCCGAACTTTCAGCCAATCAGACATCAGAACAAAGGATTTGTCAGATGCAGAATTCATCATCTCCCTGGCCACTTCCTTTTTCTGGCTTCTGTAGCTTTTCTTCTTCTCCTGAAAAGAGTCAAATCTTAAATTTATAAATTTACAGAAGCATAAAATATAGAATTAATGAATGAATTTAATCTTATTTTCTGGTTATAAGATAGTTTAGATTAAAGTTAGCAGATTCTACCACAATATTTTAAAATCAATCAGACAGGAACAGTTACAGGAAGCTTAGAAATGAGACAACTGATCAAACCTCCTAAGTAGAATATGTAGCAGTCACACATCACCAACAGACAAGATTAATTCAATTAGTCAGAAAGCCAACAATAACACAATAAGGTCGTCATATAATGAACAGTCTGAAACAAATGATAACTCTGTTGGAGTGAATGGAGCACAACCATCCTGGCAGACAACCGGTATAATAATCTAATTTCTAAAGCTTTTTTTTTTACTTTCTTGAAGTACTGCTTCATTTATAATTCTCATCAACCACATTATTTAGTGCATGTTCCTCAGATAAGCCACCAGAGGTCAGTTTCAGTGCTGGTCTCACATGCCTACAAGACTACTGGGTCTATTGGGTAGTGTCACACATCATCACTCACCCACATGATGTCTGCCTGCTACACTACTGGCTCTATAGGGCAGTGTCACACATCATCACTCACCCACATGATGTCTGCCTGCAACACAACTGGCTCTATAGGGCAGTGTCACACATCATCACTCACCCACATGATGTCTGCCTGCAACACAACTGGCTCTATAGGGCAGTGTCACACATCATCACTCACCCACATGATGTCTGCCTGCAACACTACTGGCTCTATAGGACAGTGACACACATCATCACTCACCCACATGATGTCTGCCTGCAACACAACTGGCTCTATAGGGCAGTGTCACACATCATCACTCACCCACATGATGTCTGCCTGCAACACTACTGGCTCTATAGGGCAGTGTCACACATCATCACTCACCCACATGATGTCTGCCTACTACTGGCTCTATAGGGCAGTGTCATACATCATCACTCACCCACATGATGTCTGCCTACTACTGGCTCTATAGGGTAGTGTCACACATCATCACTCACCCACATGATTGCCTACTACTGGCTCTATAGGGAAGTGTCATACATAATCAACCACCCAGATAATGTCTGCCTGCAACATTACTAACTCTATAGGGCAGTGTCACACATCATCACTCACCTACATGATGTCTGCCTACTACTGGCTCTATAGGGCAGTGTCACACATCATCACCCACTTACATGATGTCTACCTACAAGACAACTGGCTCTATAGGGTAGTGTCACACATCATCACTCACCCACATGATGTCTGCCTACAAGACAACTGGCTCTATAGGGTAGTGTCACACATCATCACTCACCCACATGATGTCTGCCTACTACTGGCTCTATAGGGCAGTGTCACACATCATCACCCACCTACATGATGTCTGCCTACAACTGGCTCTATAGGGCAGTGTCACACATCATCACCCACCCACCCACATGATGTCTGCCTTCAAGACAACTGGCTCTTTAGGGTAGTGTCACACATCATCACTCACCCACATGATGTCTGCCTACAAGACAACTGGCTCTATAGGGTAGTGTCACACATCACCACCCACCCACATGATGTCTGCCTACAAGACAACTGGCTCTATAGGGCAGTGTCACACATCATCACTCACCCACATGATGTCTGCCTACAAGACAACTGGCTCTATAGGGCAGTGTCACACATCATCACTCACCTACATGATGTCTGCCTACAACACTACTGGCTCTATAGGGCAGTGTCACATATCATCACTCACCCACATGATGTCTGCCTGCAACACAACTGGCTCTATAGGGCAGTGTCACATATCATCACTCATCTACATGATGTCTGCCTGCAACATTACTGGCTCTATAGGGCAGTGTCACATATCATCCACCTACATGATGTCTGCCTGCAACACAATTGGCTCTATAAGGCAGTGTCACACATTATCACTCACCCACATGATGTCTGCCTGCAACATGACTGGCTCTATAGGGCAGTGTCACATATCATCACCCACATGATGTCTGCCTACAAGACAACTGGCTCTATAGGGCAGTGTCACACATCATCACTCACCCACATGATGTCTGCCTGCAACACTATTGGCTCTATAGGGCAGTGTCACACATCATCACTCACCCACATGATGTCTGCCTACAAGACAACTGGCTCTATAGGGCAGTGTCACAAATCATCACTCACCCACATGATGTCTGCCTACAAGACAACTGGCTCTATAGGGCAGAGTCACACATCATCACTCACCCACATGATGTCTGAGTTCAACACTATTGGCTCTTTAGGGCAGTGTCACATATCATCACTCACCCACTTGATGTCTGCCTGCAACACTACTGGCTCTATAGGGCAGTGTCACACATCATCACCCACCCACATGATGTCTACCTGCAACACTACTGGCTCTATAGGGCAGTGTCACACATCATCACTCACCCACATGATGTCTGCCTGCAACACTACTGGCTCTATAGGGCAGTGTCACACATCATCACCCGACTAAAGGGTTGCAGTCTCATCAGGTTAAACAGGTAACTTGCTGGATAAACAATCTGGTCTGGTAGTCTGGTAGTGTTAGTTTCAGCTTCACAGCAAACGGGTCACCCCATCTTTGCTCCGCTCCTGTGCCAACGAAAAACACACAGAATGTTTATCACAGTCTCTTGTGGAAAGATTGACAGACTGCTGCCTCATCATATGCGCTAGCATACACACGCATTAAAGCCATCCGAAGTGCTTACATAAACAGTCCAACATGAGAAATGCAGTTCATCACTGATGGTAGCAGACGTCACCAACAGATCAACAGTTGCTGAAGAAACAATGATGCTGCCATCACTGGCTAGCAGACGTGGATAAGATAACTGTGTGCTTACCTTCAAGGACTCCCGCTTGGAATGCTTGCTTCCAGACATGATAGTCTTGTCCCCCGTCTGTGAACAAAGTACAATCAGGATCAGAATACACAAGAATAATCATCAAGATTTCAAATATTCATATCATACTGAAACCTTCTGTGGTATAAGCAACAGTTTCAACCATCTCTGGAATATCTTGGAGACACATGACATCTTGTCATCAGGTATACGACTGTGACACCAGCAAAAACATCTCTGTCATAACACCAACACAAGACTGTGAAACCAGCAACAACATCTCTGTCATAACACCAACACAAGACTGTGAAACCAGCAACAACATCTCTGTCATAACACCAACACAAGACTGTGAAACCAGCAACAACATCTCTGTCATAACACCAACACAAGACTGTGAAACCAGCAACAACATCTCTGTCATAACACCAACACAAGACTGTGAAACCAGCAACAACATCTCTGTCATAACACCAACACAAGACTGTGAAACCAGCAACAACATCTCTGTCATAACACCAACACAAGACTGTGAAACCAGCAACAACATCTCTGTCATAACACCAACACAAGACTGTGAAACCAGCAACAACATCTCTGTCATATCAACAACACAAGTCATTGACACCAGCAACAAAATCTCTGTCATAACACCAACACAAGACTGTGAAACCAGCAACAACATCTCTGTCATATCAACAACACAAGTCATTGACACCAGCAACAAAATCTCTGTCATATCAACAACACAAGATTGTGACACCAGCAACAACATCTCTGTCATATCAACAACACAGGTCTGTGACACCAGCAACAACATCTCTGTCATATCAACAACACAAGACTGTGAAACCAGCAACAACATCTCTGTCATATCAACAACACAAGTCTGTGACATCAGCAACAACATCTATGTCATATCATCAACACAGGACTGTGACACCACAAACAACATCTCTGTCATATCAACAACACAGGACTGTGACACCAGCAACAACATCTCTGTCATATCAACAACACAAGTCATTGACACCAGCAACAAAATCTCTGTCATATCAACAACACAAGTTTGTGACACCAGCAACAACATCTCTGTCATATCAACAACACAGGTCTGTGACACCAGCAACAACATCTCTGTCACATCAACAACACAAGTCTGTGACACCAGCAACAACATCTCTGTCATATCAACAACACAAGTTTGTGACACCAGCAACAACATCTCTGTCACATCAACAACACAAGTCTGTGACACCAGCAACAACATCTCTGTCATATCAACAACACAAGTCTGTGACACCAGCAACAATATCTCTGGCATATCAACAACACAAGACTGTGACACCAGCAACAACATCTCTGTCACATCAACAACACAAGTCTGTGACACCAGCAACAACATCTCTGTCATATCAACAACACAAGTCTGTGACACCAGCAACAACATCTCTGTCATATCAACAACACAAGACTGTGAAACCAGCAACAACATCTCTGTCATATCAACAATACAAGTCTGTGACACCAGCAACAATATCTCTGTCATATCAACAACACAAGTCTGTGACACCAGCAACAACATCTCTGTCATATCAACAATACAAGTCTGTGACACCAGCAACAATATCTCTGTCATATCAACAATACAAGTCTGTGACACCAGCAACAATATCTCTGTCATATTAACAATACAAGTCTGTGACACCAGCAACAATATCTCTGTCATATCAACAATACAAGTCTGTGACACCAGCAACAATATCTCTGTCATATCAACAACACAAGTCTGTGACACCAGCAACAATATCTCTGTCATATCAACAACACAAGTCTGTGACACCAGCAACAACATCTCTGTCATATCAACAATACAAGTCTGTGACACCAGCAACAATATCTCTGTCATATCAACAATACAAGTCTGTGACACCAGCAACAATATCTCTGTCACATCAACAATACAAGTCTGTGACACCAGCAACAATATCTCTGTCATATCAACAATACAAGTCTGTGACACCAGCAACAATATCTCTGTCATATCAACAATACAAGTCTGTGACACCAGCAACAATATCTCTGTCATATCAACAACACAAGTCTGTGACACCAGCAACAACATCTCTGTCATATCAACAATACAAGTCTGTGACACCAGCAACAATATCTCTGTCATATCAACAACACAAGACACATTTTGAATCACCTCTCCTTAACAATGGTAAACAACACACTCGCATGGTAAACAACAACATACAAGGCAAGGTAAACAACAACACACTCAGCATGGTAAACAACAACACACTCAGCATGGTAAACAACAACATACTCAGCATGGTAAACAACAACAAACTCGGCATGGTAAACAACACACTCGCATGGTAAACAACAACACACTCAGCATGGTAAACGACACTACACTCGGCATGGTAAACAACAACATACTCAGCATGGTAAACAACAACACACTCGGCATGGTAAACAACACACTCGCATGGTAAACAACAACATACAAGGCAAGGTAAACAACAACACACTCAGCATGGTAAACAACAACACACTCAGCATGGTAAACAACAACACACTCAGCATGGTAAACAACACCACACTCGGCATGGTAAACAACAACACACTCAGCATGGTAAACAACACCACACTCGGCATGGTAAACAACAACATACTCAGCATGGTAAACAACAACACACTCGGCATGGTAAACAACAACATACTCAGCATGGTAAACAACAACACACTTGGCATGGTAAACAACACCCCACTCGACATGGTAAACAACACACTCGCATGGTAAACAACAACATACAAGGCAAGGTAAACAACAACACACTCAGCATGGTAAACAACAACACACTCAGCATGGTAAACAACAATATACTCAGCATGGTAAACAACAACACACTCGGCATGGTAAACAACACACTCGCATGGTAAACAACAACACATTCAGCATGGTAAACAACACCACACTCGGCATGGTAAACAACAACATACTCAGCATGGTACACAACAACACACTCGGCATGGTAAACAACAATATACTCGACATGGTAAACAACAACACACGAGGCATGGTAAACAACAACACACAAGGCATCGTAAACAACAACACACTCGACATGGTAAACAGCAACACACTCGACATGGTAAACAGCAACACACTCGACATGGTAAACAACACACAAGGCATGGTAAACAACAACACACTCGACATGGTAAACAGCAACACACTCGACATGGTAAACAGCAACACACTCGACATGGTAAACAGCAACACACTCGACATGGTAAACAGCAACACACTCGACATGGTAAACAACACACAAGGCATGGTAAACAACAACACACTCAACATGGTAAACAGCAACACACTCGACATGGTAAACAGCAACACACTCGACATGGTAAACAACAACACACAAGGCATCGTAAACAACAGCACACTCGACATGGTAAACAACACCACACTCGACATGGTAAACAACACACAAGGCATGGTAAACAACACACTCGACATGGTAAACAGCAACACACTCGACATGGTAAACAACAACACAGGAGGCATGGTAAACAACAACACACAAGTCATCGTAAACAACAACACACTCGACATGGTAAACAGCAACACACTCGACATGGTAAACAGCAACACACTCGACATGGTAAACAACACACAAGGCATGGTAAACAACAACACACTCGACATGGTAAACAGCAACACACTCGACATGGTAAACAGCAACACACTCGACATGGTAAACAACACACAAGGCATGGTAAACAACAACACACTCGACATGGTAAACAGCAACACACTCGACATGGTAAACAGCAACACACTCGACATGGTAAACAACAACACACAAGGCATCGTAAACAACAGCACACTCGACATGGTAAACAACACCACACTCGACATGGTAAACAACACACAAGACATGGTAAACAACAACACACTCGACATGGTAAACAGCAACACACTCGACATGGTAAACAGCAACACACTCGACATGGTAAACAGCAACACACTCGACATGGTAAACAACAACACACTCGACATGGTAAACAACACCACACTCGAAATGGTAAACAACAACACACAAGGCATCGTAAACAACAGCACACTCGACATGGTAAACAACAAAACCCAAGGCATGGTAAACAACAGCACACTCGACATGGTAAACAACAAAACCCAAGGCATGGTAAACAACAAAACCCAAGGCATGGTAAAAAACACCACACTCGACATGGTAAACAACAACACACAAGGCATCGTAAACAATAACACACGAGGCTTGGTAAACAACAGCACACTCGACATGGTAAACAACAAAACCCAAGGCATGGTAAACAACAACACACTTGGTATGGTAAACAACAAAACCCAAGGCATGGTAAACAACAACACACTTGGTATGGTAAACAACAAAACCCAAGGCATGGGAAACAACACCGGCTTTAACAATCACCGCAGCAGCGCGGAAGACAAGAGACAGAAAACACTCACAAATATCGGCACTACACGCCAGACACAGCACGACTGTGTGAGTGGCACACGCTCAAATCTCATCTACACAATACTGTACAGCCAGATTACAGATAGATGACACCGTTATCCCGCTGGCCCAATCAATCGATACGTGTCCTCAAACAGGCCCAGCTTGATAATAAAACACGCAGGCAATGAATTCGGAATTTATTTACAAGTTTCAGTCGCCAGCATCTGTCTGGGGGCCTTTCGTAGAACACGAACGATTCACTCAACACTAGAATGTAAGGGAAACAATTCACAATACGTGTCTCTCAAATCTCAAATGCAGTTCTGCTGCCCCATCTCTCTCTCTCTCTCTCTCTCTCTCTCTCTCTCTCTCTCTCTCTCTCTCTCTCTCTCTCTCCTCCCCCCCCCCCCCCCCCATATCGGTACAGTAGAAAACAACAATACCCATTTGTTCGTCTGCTGTCGGTTGAACATACAAAATCGAATTTTTCTTTTAATTTATCATATTACGAGCTTTAGGATGTTTACATAAGTAAAG